TAATGTTATCTCTATACTTGAACCAATTTAAGTTTCAAATACTTGCATGAAGAAAAAGTTGTCACAATTCAGAATGAGAGATATGGTTTTAATGACGCTCTCATCACCTCTCGGGCCCCTTTTGACCCGCCACTTTCATCTTAATAGGTATCAAAATATCTGAATGACGAGGTTTGGAGGCACTGAATGAGGCAAAAATATTGGTTGCCAGGTTAAAAAACAAATTCATCAATTGCTGAATTATATTTGATTGTTTCAGCGATTTAGATTGTATAAATTATGGGTAAAACAAACGAAACGTTTTGAAGTGACGTAAATAAGCTGTGGTAACATAACTAACGGCAAATTAATCAACCAATCATTTTATTGCTCTGACGTACATAACAACAAATATTTTTACAGTAAAACCTGTATCTCACAACACCTATCTAATCCCAACCTCTCAATATGAAATTTTGATCTCTTATTGACCCACACGTTAAAAACCTTGAAATGTGCATGAACACCAGCAAATCTGGACATTTTTGTTTTTCCCCAGATGTTAATGAGACAGGTTTTACTGTATGACAAATGATATATTCAGAAATGTAGAAAAAGAACATTTTGGTAGTAATTTTTGAACTGGCACTATGTGACCAAGATAGATGAAAACATTTTAGGTTCAAGTTAACCTAAACTATTCAACATATAACTGGACTATACAATTCAATATTACTGGTATTTTTATTTCTATGATTTATTGGGATTTTGCTCTAATATGTGTTTATGTATTCCAAATACTATATTATCCAGTGTTGCTGAAAAGTTTATTTTTACAAACGCTTTCAAAGGAAAATCACACCAAGACCCTTGAAGTCTAGACCGAGGGTAGATACTCTTACCATTTTGGTTTTCCTCCGGTTAAGTTTTCCTATTTTGTCATGCTCTGAGGCTACTAATTGTTATTCTATGGCTATCTTGTTTTGAGAAGACGCAAAATAAACGCAGATTTATCAGAGATACGTTATGTGATCACTTGGAACTAATTACAACATAGATATTTCACATAGAAGTCAATGGGACAAATTCTACTTTCAAATTGTTATGGTACAAAGCTTGTTACCTGGGCAATTCAAGCAGATACAAAACTTGTTACCTAGGCATTTCAAGCAGATACAAAGCTTGTTACATAGGCCAGGTAATTTTGAGATTATCCCCGAGCATGAGAAGTAACTTCTAACCTGTTAAAATCCTTTTACCTGTAGAAAGGAAATCATGAATATTTTGATATTCTGACATTTTGAATTGTAGTAAAACCTGTCTAAATCCCAAAAGTGTTCGCATTAGCATGTGCAAGTTTTTATGAAGCTCTAAGGCAATAGGAGATAACAAATTTAGGACCAAGATTAAATGTTATTTGGAATTACAGGTTTCACTGCATATATTTCTCAGTAGGAATATTTATAATGAAAATTGTGCATTTTGTACTTAGCTGATATATTTTGATTGAGTTTGATTGAGCCTGAAAAATCCAGTCGACAATTCTATAGTTGAATGGCTATGTTTCCTCTCACAAAGCCGAGCGCAAAATAAACTAACATATTTGTAAATATGAACACAAAACAAGGATCAAGGCCACATGTACTGAGGGAACAGATTTAAAGAAAATCAACCACATTCAAAAATAATTTCCTGAATCTTTTCAATAAGCCACCAGTTTACACAGGAAGTTCTATTTGTAAACATTATTTAAAATCACAGTATAACAACCTATGTTTTCAAAATATATGTTTACTGAAAGTCTATAAGGACTTATATTGTGGACACAGAGAAAGGTTTAGGTATCCTTCACAAAACTGCGAGCAATGACCACGCTTAATTCCATGATTTAATGACAAAATGAGTGGAATAAGCAAGGAATAAAATAAAAATGAGTATGGCCGACATTCCAAAGTATACAGTGAAATAATAAGGCTGGAACTCACTGATATATTAATGAGAGAAATTAGTGGAAATCTTTATCACGTTATTTCAGTTTTGGACGGGTTATAAAGTTGTGTATGAACTATGAATACTTGACTCTTCTGGGTCACATTCCACAATTTTAGCATTGAAGAATTGGGAATAAAAGATGAAAAATGTACAATCCAGTTTTTCATGGATTTCATCTTTAAAGTGAATGCAAAATTCTCCTTTTACCTGTATATTACTATGGTAACAAAATAGTACTATTGTACCTTTTACCTGTATATCACTATGGTAACAAAATTGTACTATTGTACCTTTTACCTGTATATTACTATGGGAACAAAATTATACTATTATACCTTTTACCTGTATATTACTATGGTAGTAATTGTAGTATTGTACCTTTTACCTGTATATCACTATGGTAACAAAATTGTACTATTGTACCTTTTACCTGTATATTACTATGGTAGCAAAACTGTACTATTGTACGGTTTACCTGTATTACTATGGTAACAAAATTATACTATTATACAAAAAAGCCTACAAGAAAATGTTGAGATAAATTCCAATTTGCTAAATTATCAACTGTCGAAGCAGGTAAATTTCCTATAGGTACTACACACATTTGTTTCAATGCTAAGACAATTCCTTGACAAGAAATATTTTTATCAGTGAGTAATATAAAACTTGTAAACTGATCAAAAAACCTCCAGAATTACATTAGGGTTCAGTGTTGGTTCTAAAGCCTTATTTGAAGTTTCATATTCGTTAGATTAAGGACCAAATCAGAAGGTGGGTACCAGCTATTGCGTCTTATTTTTACTGAACTTTTCCATCAAAAAAGTTGCAAGCCACGATATTTCAAAAACCATTTCTATATAATCCATGTTTTATCCGTCATAGTAGGTATCGTTATAGCGGTAAACGATACATGCATTGAGCTTGGAATAGCTGTACATTTTGCAAACGACTTCACATATCTGCTATTTCAATAACGCCGTCCAAGTATTGCAAAAACGTAATGAAAAATCCATGGACCCGGAAATAAAAAGTGATTGCATTTTGTGGACGCAGTGCAAGCCATACTCATACAATCAACTTTGGATGAATGATTTGATAAAGATCTTACCTTCAGTCTCTTTATTTCGTCAGAATCCAATAAATAATTGAAGAAAATTCTATTTCTAAAAGAAATAAAATTTTCTTTCGAAATTTCCTTCCCGGAAGTTGATTTCTGATCGAAATAGTACGAGGCATGTGATAGGACAAAAATTTATACAATACTCGATTTCCGAGCAGTAATCAGTATGAGTCCTACGATTGGCCGGTAGCTTAAGACCTGATTCAAACCATTTTCAATTGGTCAAGTGTGATCACGTGATCATTATTTGAGACTGCATATGCGCAAGAAACTGAACTAAAAAGTTGAACCTCGCGCAGATTGCCCCTAAACTAAACATGCTAAAGCAAAATCAATAGCAAATTGTTTCGAAATTCGCAAGGAAAAGGTGTTTTAAATGGGAGAATATAAGTTATGATGGTATCTGTATCATTCAATGACATACTAGACTTGCAAGAACGCTGATTCAGACCGATAAATAGCAAAAGCAGTGGTACAAAATTTCATCAATTTATTTCATCCAGTGTAAAAACGTGACTTTTGAATTCCCGGGAACATTTTTTCAAGGGACGCAGTTTTTTGAAGGGAGACGCATTTTTTGAAAATCATTACGTCCAAGGGACGCAATTTTGGACAAGCCTACTGAAAACACTGCATATACATGTACTGCAGTGTTTAGGTACACAAGACGTGTGAAATTATGTAAATCATGCATTTCTAAAATTCAGGTTTTACAAAGTCATGTCCTAAGAACCATCAAAGTGGCCAACACACCAAATTAAACATTTTCACAACTTTGCTGGTATTTCAACTTTTAACTCAAGAACTAAAATTCCTGCGTGTCTAAAGCTTTTTGCAAGGCCTGAGTGCGCCGCTAACATGCTAAATAGAAGAGTTAGCTGACGTTTGGGAGTCTGACTTACCTTCTAAAGGTTAGAACCCGAATCTTAATGAAACCATATCACCTTTGTTCCGTCAACCATGGAGCATTTGCCACAACATCCAAGAGGTAAATCATGGATCGAGAAAATGAATGATTTCCTTGTAAGTTCCGGAAGTTTCAATACAAAAAATTACCGAACATATGTGAAAACCGAATATTTGTTCGTTGTTTTCACGATTTACAGGTTCGTTTGTTCTTCAATGTTTTGGTCTAAATTATAAAGCATCACCAACAGGTCTTTCTCTATTAATCGACTAATACAGCAGACGGCTCATATTTCTACGTAGCATTTCATTCAGACCAATAGTGGGAGTGTAGATCACGCAGTTTCGTTCGTTGCGTACTTCACTTGAAATTGGTAATTTTTAATATTGACTACTTCACTTAGCTTGGCGGATGTAGAACATTGCTTAATATTCTTTTAATTTTCACACCAGACATGCTTGGTTGACACGTCAACAAAGTAAAGTTCAAGGGTCAATGCGTTATTTCGTGATAACTACAACGCCTTCCCGGAAGTCAACATTGATGAAAAATGAAAAAGTCGGAAAAGCATTTACGCTAATTTCTATCAAATGCTATGTTTATGCATCATCATCGACGCAACAAAGGTGATATAGTTTCATTAAGATTCGGGTTCTAACCTTTAGAAGGTAAGTCAGACTCCCAAACGTCAGCTAACTCTTCTATTTAGCATGTTAGCGGCGCACTCAGGCCTTGCAAAAAGCTTTAATAAAAAGATATGACATGTTTATGTACTATAATTAGATCACATGCACACTGCATACTGATAGTAAATATAAATCTCAAAACTTTTGACAAAGTGGGTCAAAAACTTCAACTTTGTGACCTCCATGTTGTTTTCAAAACACATGGATTTGTAAAATTTAGCTCAATTCAAGAAGTGTTTTGACACGGTTATCATTGCCCAAATTCGATGAAACTTCACTAAATCTAAGATCATAATATAAATCGTCGTGTGCGTACCTGATACATAGCTCCTTCAGCCCCAATCGTTGTCCCCGCCGGACTAAAATGACCACTCAAAGTGTATGTTTTCGTGTTGTACTCCAATCCATTTTTGTTGGTCTCGTACAAAACAACTTCTAAAAGTGCTTTCTCTTTCGCACAAACTGCAAAAACTAATGTTAAAATCTGAGCATATGTAAGTAGATTCATGTTGGTTCCTCAGATAGTGCCATAGCAGTTATAATCCTTGTTAAAATTGTAATAAAGTTTGAGTAAATTCCGACTCCATACTCTGTGTTGCTCCTTTTACGATCAACTGGCCTGGCCTCGGTAACATCAAAGGCTGTCAGGGGGTCACGTGACATCGCGAAAGCCCGCCTTGATTAGCTAAAGGGGTCGTCTCAAGATGCATGAACGTTTACTAGTCAATCAGAATACTACAGGTTCAGCATACAATATTACAGGTGTATATAATCGATCAGAAATCACAAGCAGCAACAATTGAAAAACAAAAAATGTTTAACTACATTACAAAAGTAATTAAAAAAGAGAGAAAAATGCAATAGTCCCAGTGAAAAACTTGGATTTAGCAAAATTAATGTTTCAACTACTGCTGGATAAGCAGAGGTAATCACTGCAATTTATCAGCCAACTAATAAAGTTGATGTTTGGACAAAGAAGACCCTGGGATAAAAACTAATAAAATACAAGATTATTCATAAAAATATTTGTTCATTTCTGGAGGTAAAATTGATTGAACGATTCGGACAGTAATTCCGTTCCGTGGCCAGCCCTATTCAAGTGGCAACGTTTACAATGGCTCTATTTCAGATTGCCAGCCACTAGGGAAAATATGATAAATCAAACACATTTCTTGGAATCTCTCATCATTCTGAATGATGACGAGGTCAATATACATGACAGTGATCATCTTAACTATACAAACCTGACTAAGAACTGTTTCTATGCTATAATGACATAAACTATTTAGGCATAATTTTCCTAGAGTCCCTAGTGTTACAACCCAAGGGTGCCTCTGTGGAGCTGTAATGTAACAACCCAGATACAGACATGGAAGGGAGTGTGCTAATTTAAATTCCCTGTGTGGGAATTGAACCCAGGACCTTCCGCTCCAAATCCAATGCTCTACCACTAAGCACTAAGAGCTAGCCATAACTGAGCTGTAGTAGCAACTTGCTATCCAGGGTTGCTACACTAGTAATAAAAGCACCTAATGAATTGTACACAGCATTGAATAACAGCACCATATGTATTGCATGTGGGGCCTCACAAGATGAAATGAAATTATGAATTATGTTTTCAATAATCCTGTTCTTTTATATATCAAGCTAGTTCAATAATGTTTATCATTATGTGTCAACAAATATTATTCATAAACCTGACACGAGTCCTGGTAATGCAGTAATAAGATATTATAAACATGTTTCTCGGTTTTGTGAGCTATTTGTTGAAAGAATTGTTTAAATATAATTTTCATTAAAATCAAATTCAGTATCTAAATCACAGTGGAAAGTACACAAGGAAATTTAATTTCAATTTTATTAATACTCCACAGATTTATTGTATCACACAAGTTACATGTATTGAAATTAAAAAGAAGATCTGCATTAGACTGACAAATGGTTCACTGTATTAAGACACATGATGCTTCGAGTGGGGTTCCTCTTCATGTGAGGTTCCCCTTCATGTAAGATTCCCATTCAAAATGGGGTTCCTCTCCATGTGTAGTTCCCCTTCAAGAGGAGTTCCCTTTGAGCCTGATCAGCAGCTTTGCATTAGACTGACAAAAGGTTCACTGTATTGTGGCAACGGAAATGTTATAGCCTTGTTATAGCTGCCATCTATAAATCTAAGATCAAACTAAATTCATGTTGTAAGAAAGTTTTTCAGACTTGATCGCCCTCTTTCAAATAACTGTGAAACCAAAATACAGAATCCCAATATCTTATCCAAAGGAAATGGATTCATAATATTAATTAATCCATCTATCAATGCATACAAGATTTTCTTGTGTCGATTTGCTGGGCATTTGCATGAAAGATCTTAATGAGGATTTACGTGTATAGATATATGTATGAGACACTTATCATTGCTTTAGTATAAGTTATTAGTAGAAGTCATCTTGAATGTCCCCCATGGCAATAGAGAGTGATTTATCATAGAAGTGATCTTTTTCTGCGCATGGAACAATACTGTATGTTGTCAGATAACTCATGGTTTCCATGGAGCTACAGCCTATAACCAGTTAATTTCTGATTAATCCATGGTGAATTATATAACAAAGCATGACATTATTTTTATACGTTATGACAAGAATGAAACAAGTAAAACACTGGAGATACACTACTGCACTAGGATATGGTATAAGTGAATAATTGAGATACATGGAAGATACACTTATGTGTGAGAAAGTCTGTATTTGCATATATGTCAGAAATCGTAAAAATGGACATGAAGTATAATACAGGATATCCTTGTAGCTTGTGTTTGGTTCATGTCAAGTAAAATAGGATAGCGTCTTCTCCTTAAGGAGACAATGGGATATAGTTGTTGTTGCTAAGAGAATATGGCATCACCAGCAACCAATACACAATAACAGAAACCCAAAACATGATTTCCAAGGAATAAAGTAACAGTACCATGTGATATAAAATATACAAGTTTTATTATTAACAAAATGAAGTTTACATTGAGATTGTATAGTTTATGCATTGGGCCAATAATTCTGGCATGTTTCTATTGGATTTGTACAAGTCTATACAAGATGCAAGGGGTTCAGGTAAGAAATATTCATTAAAGGCCCACTGTCTGTAATTCTGTTCAATAAAGTGCCAAAATCTGTCATTCTGTTTATTAAAGGGACACAATCTGTAATTCTGTTCATTAAAGGGGGCCACAATCTGTAATTCTGTTCATTAAAGCGACACAATCTGTAATTCTGTTCATTAAAGGGCCAAAAATCTGTAATTCTGTTTTTAAGGGACACAATCTGTAATCCTGTTCATTAAAGGGGGCCACAATCTGTAATTCTGTTCATTAAAGCGACACAATCTGTAATTCTGTTCATTAAAGGGCCAAAAATCTGTAATTCTGTTTTTAAGGGACACAATCTGTAATCCTGTTCATTAAAGGGGGCCACAATCTGTAATTCTGTTCATTAAAGCGACACAATCTGTAATTCTGTTCATTAAAGGGCCAAAATCTGTGATTCTGTTTATTAAAGGGACACAATCTGTAATTCTGTTCATCAAAGGGCCATAATTTGTAATTCTGTTAATTAAAGGGCCACAATGTGTGAATCAGATACCAAATAATTACCCCAAAATGTTTTAATTTATGACAATATTTGTAACTTGCACTATCAACAGACTGATTCAAACCTTATTCTCTGAAAATATTGAAACTTGAAAAGAATTGTTCATAACAAAAAAGAAGCCCAACAAGATCCAGATTGAAATTTTCAACTTTATATTTCTCGTGTTCTTCAATTGATGCAAAAATGCCACATTTAAAAAACATATTTTCATATTTATTGTACATTTAATACATTTCACTGTTTTAATACACATAGATAGATATTCCATATATTTCAATTCACTGTCTGTTCAATAAACCTATAATGGTGCTTCATAATTACCAATGTGGCAATTTACTTTTACTGTAGACAAAGCAGGGACCACTAGTCTACAAGGCCATACATTAAGAAATATGTTATTTGATGTTGTTACTAATTATTGGGTAGTCTTGCTTTAAGCCCTTGTGATCACACCTCTCGACATCTCGCCAAGGACATGAAGTAGATAAGGTTGGTATCCTGAGACACATGCAAGACTATTTAATAGGACTCAACCCCCTCCCCTCACCTTTCTATACTTAAGCTTATGCATAACATTACTTTTTCAGAAAAAGACAGGTTTAATACCAACTGTGCAGACAACATTGGAGATGAGAAAAGAAAACGTTCAAAAAATGTGCAAAACATTTCCAATGAGACGGAAAAATGATTCGACAATCCAAAAAGAGACTGAAGAAATATTGGGTAACAAATCTGCACTAATCGTTGATGAAAAACTAAAACTAGTGTTTTGTTTTGTGCCTAAGGCTGCAAGCACAAGTTGGGCGTCAATTATAATTTCCCATCATTCAAATTGCTCTATTGAGTCATTAGATTCGAATGAAATTTGGAATTCAAGACGGAAATACATAAAACCAATGTGGGAGTTCACATCCCAGGAGAGAATGAAAATTTTGAGGGATTATCTCAAAGTTTTGGTTGTAAGAGATCCTCTTGATAGAATATACTCAGCTTGGTATGATAAATTCCGATATTATAATAAATGGTTTGCTGAGAAATATGGAAAATATGTGATAAACATGACAAGGCCAAACGGTATAAATAGCGATTTGAAAAAAGGACAGTATATAACGTTTGCAGAGTTTATTCAATATTTGACGATACTGGATGATATTTCAACCACAAATGAACACTGGAAGCCGATCTATGACATCTGCCATCCTTGTCATGTGACCTATGACATCATCACTAATTTCTATAATATCGAAGAGGAAAGCAATTTTGTGCTCCAAAAGCTAGGATTGGTCAACATGAAATTTCCATTTAAACATGTCAACAATTTACCATCGAAAACTGAAACGTCATTTTCCTTTCAAAAAATGTATCAGCTTTATAAACAGTTCAATGTTGAAACTATGATGAAGTTAAAAGATGCTTACATCATGGATTATAAAATTTTTAACAATGGTGCATTGGAGTTTAGAAGATTGGTACTGGAATAAAAGAATAAATAGTCGCACATTACAATTTTATTTTTTCTGTGTGTACATTCCAAACAATGCACTGTGATGAATTCAATCTTTTACCAATATGCACTGCTCAGTTCATTATAACACCATAATGCACTGTGATGGATTCAATCTTTTACCAATATGCACTGCTCAGTACATTATAACACCATAATGCACTGTGATGAATTCAATCTTTTACCAATATGCACTGCTCAGTTCATTATAACACCATAATGCACTTTGATGAATTCAATCTTTTACCAATATGCACTGCTCAGTTCATTATAACACAATAATGCACTGTGCTGAATTCACTCTTTTACCAATATGCACTGCTCAGTTCATTATAACACCATAATGCTCTGTGATGAATTCACTCTTTTACCAATATGCACTGCTCAGTTCATTATAACACCATAATGCTCTGTGATGAATTCACTCTTTTACCAATATGCACTGCTCAGTTCATTATAACACCATGATGCACTGTGATGAATTCAATCTTTTACCAATATGCACTGCTCAGTTCATTATAACACCATAATGCTCTGTGATGAATTCACTCTTTTACCAATATGCACTGCTCAGTTCATTATAACACCATAATGCTCTGTGATGAATTCACTCTTTTACCAATATGCACTGCTCAGTTCATTATAACACCATAATGCTCTGTGATGAATTCACTCTTTTACCAATATGCACTGCTCAGTTCATTATAACACCATAATGCACTGTGATGAATTCACTCTTTTACCAATATGCACTGCTCAGTTCATTATAACACCATAATGCACAGTGATGAATTCACTCTTTTACCAATATGCACTGCTCAGTTCATTATAACACCATAATGCACTGTGATGAATTCACTCTTTTACCAATGTGCACTGCTCAGTTCATTATAACACCATAATGCACAGTGATGAATTCACTCTTTTACCAATATGCACTGCTCAGTTCATTATAACACCATAATGCACTGTGATGAATTCACTCTTTTACCAATATGCACTGCTCAGTTCATTATAACACCATAATGCACTGTGATGAATTCACTCTTTATCACCAATCATCACCAATCATAAGTGAACATCAATACATACTTATAATTAGTCATTATCATAAGTATACCTTTTTTACTTTCCATGCATCACATGTGATCAATAAAAAGGGAGATGTGCGCTATTTAGAGGGAATACCATAGATGGAATTGTGATAAAATTTTGACATGGTGGCTAATAATTAGAGGAATATGAGTCTGTCCATAACACTATACTTTCCGAGTCTCATGTAATTGGTCTTGATAATCGGGCACTAATTATCACCATCAGTGCCACCTATTGTCAAACATCACTCCATTCATCACAGGGCAGTTGGAGTAGTTGATATCAAACTTTCATCCAATAAGTAATCATATATTTTCCGTGTTTTATTTACGTCTATTTTAATGAGATTCCTGGCTTGAGCTAGCTTGAGGTAGCCAATCTTTTTGTATTCGTTCATCAATATTGCTTTGAAATCTAAGAATGATTCTGGAACTAGACGTACATTTGCACACACCTGAAAGTACAGCAAACAAATATGATTGTAGTGTAAAACCAAAAATATATTGTTAAACACAAAATAATACATTGCAAAAGGTGCAAAATACAACATTGTATTGTAAAACACAAAATATTGTAATGAAAAAGAAAAGATTGTATTGTTAGAGAGAAAAGAATGAATTGTCAAAGGGAAAAGATGTGTTGTGAAATACAAATGACTGCATTGAAAAATGCAAAATATTGTTATTTTATGTAAAGCACTAATTGTAAACTACAAGAGATTGTAATATAAAAGAAAAAAGATAGTATTATGAGAAGTTTAAGATTATATTACAAAAAGTTTAAATTGTATTGTATGTAAAACAAAACTTAAATGCACAACCTGTTAGCCCATATGGCCAAATAGCCTTACCTCACGCTCCTTCTGATTGAGTTTTTCATATCCTGGCATCCCCATAATGTCCAATGGTGGAGCTGTGCGTCGTGCTGAAATACATTTAAAATGGTAAAATTTACTGATGATGCAGGGGCATAGCCTGAATCAAAATAAAAAATCAGACAAGGCAAATGTAAATAGACAAGATAGACAAGGCAAATTTAGGCTAAAAGAATATCACATGTAGATGAAAATTTTGTGAAAATTTTGGTGTGGCAGCCTCATTCCTGACTAGGCCCTTGTAAATGGAAGGTCATCATGTACAATTTATTTATTTTTCAGTGTATTTATTTCCTCATAAGTGATTCACATCTCCCGTCATACTGAGTGAAATTCAATTTTTTTTTTATACATAAATTTATTCCTTTAGTAAACAATATAAGACATGCAATTGATTGCCAAAGTTTTATAAAAAAAAACATTAGCGGCAATTTTAGACAATATGAATAGGAATACATTAAAATTAAAAATTTATCAAAGTAATGTTTTCACACATATAAGAAACTATAATCCCATGGGCCAGGGATGTGTTAACACATGCATGCAAAAATTAGCCAAACCGATCAATTTGGCTCAAACTTTGATTCACAAAATGACTCATTAGTTCTATTAATTTTTCATTTAATGAATTATCTAAATCTTCATCACCATACAAAAGAAACTGAATTTTGTCAACTGTGTTCAAATTCTGAACCAAAAGATGAAGATCTGAAGTTCGCAGTCCTGCAAATAAAGTTTCACGCTCGTTTACAAGCAGAGGACATTTTAAGATAAAATGAGAAGGTGTTTGTGGTAATCCACATTTACAAAAGGGATCACTGACACTGGTGAAATTATGAGCATATAGCTGTGATTTTAAAAGGAGACCCACTCTGAGTTTGTTAAAAGCAGATTCAACATATCTAGGCATTTCGTTTACCATTTTGGTAGTGGGTAGCATGGAGACAGGGCTCCTGTAATCTCTTACTAATCTTTTGAAGCGAGATATTGGTTGACCTCTTCTCGTGTCAAGGTGTAAATTGTCCCATATTAAAGTGAAATTCAATGCGACATAAAATCATGTACATTTGAATTCATTGCTATAACAATATAACAATACTTTCTGATGGTGACATAATACATAAGACTTACGTGCTGCAGGTAAAATTATATTAGCACCCCTAGTGGCCAGATCTAAGGTTGCCTGGCGATGAAGCCATTGTTGACATGCAACTTCATCCTGAAATGAAAAGCGTCAAAAAAATCTCCATGGAAATACAAGTGTAACGACCCTTGGGCACGCTCGTCGGGGAGCTGTAGTGTACCGAGCCAGATACTAGAATCGAACCCAGGACCTCCCGCTCTCAGAGTCAGACGCTCTTCCCCTGAGCCATAAAGGCTAGCCACTACAGCTGAGACTGTAGTAGCGACTTGCTATCGAAGGTCATTACACAAGAACAAAATGTACTTTCAAGTTACATTTAATCAGTTGGCTAGGAATGCTGTGTTCCACAATGAATTTCTACAGGGATATTTTGTGAAGAGCATATAAGACCCTTTAAAACATGAAATGGACCCTCATCTTTTAAGGTGATTAAGCATACATGTGGCTCGAAATGTCTGTTTCATAAGGTGCATGATAAGGTCTCTCAAAAATAAGGTATTATCATTGACCTCTGCCTGTCTTTATTTATTTCTACTGTAGGAAAATATTAGGAATATCTGTCTTTATATGTGTAACTGCATATGAAATATGTGGCGATGGCTCAGTTTGTGAAGATATTTCACATTTCCCTCAAAAAACATGAATTAAAGATATTGAAATAATTTTGTATACCTACCTGTAAATGAACCAACACATCATCTAAAGATGTTCGGGATGTTTTTAATTTCTCTCGCCTTTGTCTCAAGGTTTTAAAGACTCGTGCTGCCCTCTTTTTTACGACACCATTTCTACGACATTCTTGCAAATGTTGCACTTCTTCCTTAAGCTCTGCTTGTACTGGAATATTGACAAGAAATCGCAAAGTCATATTTCCGATTATTCATGAGAATAAAACGCTTGTGCTATGTTTTATGTGCTGACATGAAAAAGTTAATAATTTGACAAACTGCTACTGAGTTACTTGAAATGGTCACAAAAGTAGAACAATTTGTTACAAATGCAAACTGACAACCACCAAATGTCAGTCGCAAAAAAGCTGTAAGTAGATAATATATTGTACATAAGTATACATAAATGTATTAAGTTAATTGCCAAAACCTTTACTGTTGGGCCTAATGCTTATATGCATTTTAGGGCAAACTGAAAAAATTATTACTGAATTAATTAATACATAAAATAAAAATTTGCCCATTGCCTGCTCCTAATAAAACACCTGTCAGTGCAGTGTCATGTTTACTTACGAAGTAGCGCTTCGGTGTACATGTCAAACTCAATAGGTGGCAGCATACGTGTGAAAACTTGTAGTGACTCTAAACATGGGTACATGTTCCCCGTTTTCTCATATCTTCTATAGGTGGCTGGAAAAGAAGAAATCATGATCAATGTTGAAAATATTAAGGTCCAAAGATACTATACTAGTATAGCTTAATAAAGCTTATATTGTTTTTTTGTAAGCCTGATGTTTACATGTTCTAAGAACATGTACAATTGTTCATATTTCTTCGCTCAATATTTTGTAAAAAGTTAGTCATCAAAATGAATTAATGTTCATATTTGTAAGATGCAGCAGCTGATAGCAATATTTCTTTAACCCAGTAGGACCCACCTAAATGTTTTTTGATGCTGATAAGTCCATAGTCCCTGATAACTTTCTTCTTTCTTTGTCGATCTCTGAGACAATTTTGGTAAACATCCAACACAGCCAATTTCACCTCTGGAATGAAATTTTTGTTTTATTAACTTCAATATCCAAGGGTTATATAGCATACATCATACTACCTAAAAACTTGTTTTTTAAGAAGGAAACTCAAAATAAGGTTACTTATAAACTAAAAAAATGTAACTCTGAAAAAATAGTTTGTTTAACTCATATTTCATTTTAACTTTGATTATTTAGGTGTTTGACCATTTAGGTGTTTTTTCTGAAAATTGTGAACACAATGCATATAAATGTTGATTAAACACTCAAATCTAAATGCCTATAAATATTGATTAAACACTCAAATCTAAATGCATATAAATGTTGATTAAACACTCAAATCTAAATGCATATAAATGTTGATTAAACACTCAAATCTAAATGCCTATAAATATTGATTAAACAATCAAATCTAAATGCCTATAAATGTTGATTAAACACTCAAATCTAAATGCATATAAATGTTGAATAAACACTCAAATCTAAATGCATATAAATGTTGATTAAACACTCAAATCTAAATGCCTATAAATATTGATTAAACACTCAAATCTAAATGCATATAAATGTTGATTAAACACTCAAATCTAAATGCATATAAATGTTGAATAAACCCTCAAATCTAAATGCCTATAAATGTTGATTAAACACTCAAATCTAAATGCCTATAAATATTGATTAAACACTCAAATCTAAATGCATATAAATGTTGATTAAATACTCAAATCTAAATGCATATAAATGTTGATTAAACACTCAAATCTAACTGCATATAAATGTTGAATAAACACTCAAATCTAAATGCATATAAATGTTGAATAAACAATCAAATCTAAATGCCTATAAATGTTGATTAAACACTCAAATCTAAATGCATATAAATGTTGAATAAACACTCAAATCTAAATGCATATAAATGTTGATTAAACACTCAAATCTAAATGCCTATAAATATTGATTAAACACTCAAATCTAAATGCATATAAATGTTGATTAAACACTCAAATCTAAATGCATATAAATGTTGAATTAACACTCAAATCTAAAGGCTCACCATCAATTAAAGGGTCCTCCTCTGTATCGTCAAAAGAAATATCCCGAAGATCATGTTCTGCATAATTTGCATATTCAACCGTAAAATCCCCGCGTGCTGACATGTAACCAGCCATGTCAGTCTGCATAGAAGAGCCTTGTGGTGGTCGGGGAGGGTCCTCGCTAACTGGAACAGCAAATTATTGTTGATCTTGAACTTTTCAAAACTTGTACATGTAGTCAGATAGATGCTGTTTGACATTAAAATGTAGCATTTTGTTTTGTAGCAAATTGATTAAAATTATGTTCATGGAATCATTGAAGACCCTCATAACATCAGCTCACTCTTAGCTTTAAGGGACAGAGGGTTTAAAATGTTGGAAGAGTTTTTGAAATTACATGCCCTTAGAATGCCCTTAGTAGATTTATGATCAAAATGTCTAAATTCATTTGCATCTTTTCAGATAACCTTTTATTGAAATAAAGTAAGAACTGTTGGACCTTTTAGAAAAATTAGTGTGACAATTTTCCCTTCTACATCTAGAGGCTGTTAGAGCCAATGATACCATGAAGAAACTAATGGTATAATGGGGTCAGTACCCATGTACAGTAAAACCTGTGTATCAGAACACCTCTCTAATCCGAACGTGTCTCAATGTGAACAATTTTCTCAGTCCCAGATTTGTCATCTTCTATGGAATTACATATTAATAAAACCTTGTGATGACCTACTGTATTTGTTTTTAATTTGGTGAGCATTTAATTTGGCAAATTTTGGTGAATCAAAAAAATTGCCAAATTAAATACTCGCCGAAATCCCGGGAATTTGATATGTTTTTCATTCAGAGCACTTCTCTGGTTTTAAAAAAGATACCAAGATCGCCAGACTATTTTAATTTATAGAAACAACAACAAATATTGAAGAAAATATATATAAACAAGAAATTGTTCATCAACAACACTAACAATGACTATTTTGAATTGGTAACACGGGAGGATGTCTAGGACACTTGAAAAACTGCCAAATTAAATAGATGCCAATCGGCCCATAAAACAAAATTGCCAAATTAAGTAGTGCCGAATTTAAGACAAATGCAATATAAAATGTGGACACCTGCTCATCCCCACACGTTGGCAGGTCCCAGAGACACTCATTCCCACACATTGACAGGTCCCAGAAACATTCAGATGTAACAGGCTTTACTGTACATGTACATTTATTGAAAAGCTTACTTTTAAACATAACTGGACTGGGATAGTATGACACTTCAGGTAGAGGTAGATCTGAAATGTGCAAATTGAATATCATACAAATCATATACAATGATACAATAAACATATACAATAAATACAATGTATATACAATATGCAGTGCGTGCCTCGATCAATCATGTTTTTGAGGAAATTAAGCTGCTGGTTACAGTTTTCAGGGGAAACTAATTTATGTTGCATATGTACTGATTCACTGAAGCCAGTTAGATAGATGAATGTTTAACTGTGCCATATTCAATGACCCACATGGGATCCTCAATATCCTGTCTAAACCTCTGTCCTCTGAGCTACCTAAACTTAAGTCACTCAAACATACTTAATTCACTCCAATTTTGATGTACAACTATAATTTATTTAATATAGAGTACAAGTGACTGAGAGAATTGCCCATTTCTAGCTTTCATAATTTTGGCAATACTTTTTTAAAGAACTAATTTGTCAGTGTCACGAAAAATAAAATGTGGTGAATGGTATTTTAATGGGGAAGCTGTATTTTTAATATACAACAATAAATTCAAAATATCATACCTGGCATCTGCTTCTTAATATTACTGATGTAATATTTCAGATAATGTGTCTCACATTGTGATTTGGTTTTTGTCTGCACCATTTTGGACACATCATCCCTATAAAGAAAAAATCAGGATATTTTGTATTTAATTGTACTATGCTCATATCATGGATTTCTCCAGAGGTTCTACCTCATCCAATTTCTCGTTCCCTAAACACATAAACATAATAGTTACCACGAGGAATCAGAGGAATGTATATCCTGACTTTCAAACAAAAATATTGATTTGGATTCGTAGTCTCGAATTTTGAGAAACTTAGATAGCACAGTTGTGTGACCTAGTTTGATGACCTTTGACCTTGAAAATTTTACTTATTCAGAGCTCAGTAAAGTCTTTTGTGATTAAGCTGACCAAAATTTACATCCAAAAATCAATTTGAAAAATCAACTTTTTTGACTTTTTGAAGGTCACTGAAGGTCAAGGAAAGGTCAAATCATAAAACTAATGTCAGATTTGAACTCCTGGCAACTTGCAGATAATTTTCAAAAACAATTGGTCAAATTGAAGCAGGTTGAAAAATAACTTATTTTTACTGTTTTTTTTAGGTCAAATTTCTCAAAAAGGTAAACATTTGATGCTGACATATATTGAGCAATATGTAGGGAATGCTTAAATCTTGTAATGATGTAATTCATTGCAAGAAATGATCAAGTATAAGGCAAACTTTGAGAAACTTGTCAATCACAAAACCTGCCATTGACTTTATAATGAGAAAGTTTCCTGAAAATGACTTAGTCCTTCTTTTTGTCAAATTTTATAGAGTAAAGACCAAAAACTGTAATTCCAAGAGCTTTGAAATCTTCTGAGGACATAAGTTGCATATACAGCAACTACTACAAGTAATTTGAAAGTTCTACTTCAACAAAGTATAGAGTATTTACAGCAAATTTGTTTTTTCGGTGTCACTGTGTGAGCCAAAAAATAAGCAAAAATAATTAAAATTGCTACACCTATTTTCTGTATATGGCTACTAGTACACACCGGAATAGTCTGACAACAGTAAAGTCAGATACCGTTGTCACAAAACTTGAACAATACAATTTGAATATCTTAAAATTGGAATAGTAGCTATAAAAAGATGAGGAAAATACAAGTTCTCTACAATGTCACATCTATGCGATACACTGTACATATCCAGATTTACTTCATAATTATACCAGACAAAATTAGCTTACCAGTTGGAAAGCCCGCAGTCTTGTATACCATCGAGCAATTTCATTTCTTCATTTGCTGACCATCCATTTTCAAATATCGGAAAGTCATACCTCTGCAATGAGTGAATTATAGATTGCTTTATTTTCAGAAGTTGGTAGTTATATCCAAAAAAAAACAGGACCGTAAGAAACTTGAATAACTCAGTCAATTTTGCATATTTTGCCTTGAAATTTCAAAATTATTTAGTTCATTCAATGTGAATTTTGTTGTGAAAGTTTGATAATAATCTACCAATTGAGTCAAAAACTACAGCTCCTTACAAAACATGCCCCAAATGTGCAAATCTCATCTCTATGCACAATTCAATCCGACGAACAAAGCTGTTGATGATCCTCCTACACACATGTCTTTCTGAATGGGCAAGTTTGTTCCAAGAACAATTGCTACTGGGGCTTACATCCTACTGATGAAGTGTTAAAGCATCCATTGCATTCTGAACAATGCACTCCCTGGGTGGCAATGAGGAAACATGGAATCATCAGTGCCTTTTGGTTCGAAGGTGACTGGGGACTTGCTATCACCATGAACAAGGACCAGTAAGTTCTCACCAAGTTTTGGAGGTCACTAAGCACCAGAAGGGACATCTAAGGAGATAATTAAGCAGTGGTTTCAACAAGCCAATACCACCCCAACACTGCAAATGATATGCTGAAATGGTTTAGGCAATACTTTGGTGGTCAGCTCATCAGTTGCAGAACGCAAACCATATGGGCAGCTCATTCGCCTGATCTAAATCCCCCAAATTTTTATCTTTGAGGATTTCTCAAAGCCAATGTGTATACTGACAGGCCCCTAACAATCTTAAGAGGGCAATAACTACCCCAATATTTACCATCCACATTAATGTGTATAGGTAAGGGTCATTAACAACTTTGTTCGCAGGATTCGTTTGTGCATAGAGAGGAGAAGTGCCCACTTTGAGCATGTTTTGTAAAGGACTGTAGTTTTTGACACAATAAACAGATTATCATCAAACTTTCAGAACAAAATTCACATTGAATGAACTAAATAATTCTTAAATTTCAAGGCAAAATATGCAAAATTGACCGAGTTATTCAACTTTCTTACGGTCCTGTTTTTTTTTGGACACCCTGTACATTTGACAAAATAGTATTCCTAAATAATCAACTTGAATAAAGTGACACATCCTTTTAAATGTAAAGTTCATTTATACATTAAGGTAAAATTCATTTTATTTATTCCTTTAAGCTTAGAGTTTAAAAAAGGTAAATTTCAGAACCACGTCTGACATAATGAGAATCAGATGCAGACCTGAAAATTCACAGTTGGAGGCAGAAATTTGCAAGTGAAACTCAGTTATGTATACATGCATGTACAGTGAAACCTGCGAAAATTGAATGCTTTTGGTATCTCTATAGAGTGATCCACTTTTGTGTTTCACTTACAGTGGTTCATTTAACATTAAGTCAATTGGTCATTGGACTCTGAAAAAATGTTCCACTTACAGAGGTGTCCCACTTCACAGGTTTTACTGTATGCAACACATAATTATTCTATAGATCTACTCACAATGACAGAGTAACCGTGGTTGTTCTGGTGCCCATCTTTTTCTAACCCATCAGCAAAACAATGCGTGCATAAAAATGTCTCTTTCTGGCAGTCTATGCATTTTATGTAGGGGTCTTGTAGCATGATACAGCACCCAAGGCATGATGGACTCTCCATTTAAGGATATGTTTTCGTCTAATTTACTTGAGTCTCTAGCAAATCATTTGACTAGAAATCATCACATTTTGGTCCGTTGTGTACTCTAAAAAACGGGGTCAAGAAAAATATATGATTTAAATAAATTATTTAAAAAAATTTTTGTAAGAATAGTTATCAAATTGAAACAAACCTTGTTCTGATGCTCATTAGTCTAATCATTTTCCCAAGACGTCCGAGATGACAGTTTATTTTGTCACTTCTGAAAGTTAAATAAGAAATATTTAATTTGAGAAATTTTTATTAAACTACAATTTCTGATTCCTAGGTCCTAAAATCTACCCAGGCTAGGCCTATAATCCATTTCACTTTTTTGTGTCAGTAAAACCTAAAAAAAAACAATTAAAAGAAACAGTGCAGAATTTTTCTTCTGTCAGCCAGTCTCTGATTGGACAAAATTAGTTTGGCATTAATTATATACATTCCTGGACCGAACTTTCATGAAGTAATTGTCTCGGAATAGACACTGTGGTGGGCAGAAAGAAAAATACCAAGCAACTGCGCAACTGTTCGAAATTGACCAAAACGCCCCATTGTCTTCCAAAACGCCCCGCAGAGTCTATGACTACAAACATGTAGTTTCAAGGTATATAGATCCAACGGGTGTTTTGGAAGAGAACGGGGCATTTTGATCAATTTCGAACAGATGCGTAGGACTTTTTGAAATTGCTGCGTTTAATAAATATGTTGATGCAGAGATGGAGGGTTGTAAAGGGAGTCCTTGTGCAAAATATAGGGGAGAATAATAAAAGAACTGGCGATATATCGTGGCTTTTGGTTGAAATCTCTGAAGATATGCATCTTTTCACATCTGGGGACCAAAACGCCACTAAAACGAGCAACTCTGTACACAAAAGCAATATCTCGAGTGGAAGGTATTCGAGTGAAAGGTTTTAATGGAACAAGTTTGAAGAAAAATGGTGTACTGTGAGACTCACAATCATTGATTTTCCAAAGAAAGGGTAGGTTTAAAATTCAAATTAATTCAGTTTTGCGGGGCGTTTTGGTTTCGATATCCCCCGGTGAGGTAGTACCGCGTGAGCATAATAATCCAAGTAATAAGTGAATAATACGTGAAGTACGGATTTGTTTTGTTTCCTCACACGGTTGATGTACAGTTGAAGTGGACATTCTTGATAGAATCTGATGGATTTATACTCGAGCATGTATCTCCCATGTAGAATGATATAGTCAAAACAGAAATGTTTGTGACTTACTCACGTCGAGAGCTATAGATTTTGAAAGTATAGCTCTCCATCGTGAGGATCTCCCAGCTGAAGAATTGTGACATCTAATTTTGATCAGCGCCAGTCAGCGGCTTGCTGTTTGTCTCAAACTGTAGCCTACATATGGGCTCATATGTGTCTACTTTCCCCGTGCATGTAGGATCGCGGATGTGCCTCTATGGCGATCAGGAGTTCTAATTGTTTTTTGTTCGATACCCATTTCCAATATGGCGGTTAAACGGAAATACTATCGACGCATGCGCAACTTGGGAAACGTCAAGCCGCCATATTGAATATACCTGGCCAAAACTTTTGACACGACCAATAAAATGAAGTCCTGATCGATACATAGGGCAGTGAGACGTTCTATGTTGAGCTGAATGAAAGATGGCGATGTAGGATACATTTTCAGGTATATAATGTGCAACATGAGTCAGCTGAATTCCCTGAAATTTTCTTTGAAGTCAGGATTCTTAAGCTGTTGATTCTAGCGATAGAGAGCTATACTTTCAAAATCTAAGTAGCTCTCGACGGGAGTAATTTGTGACTACTTTGAATTTAAAAAATAAGCAATCAAATGACCATATTGAAACAGTTTATGTAAAAATAGAAACATTTATATTTATCCTAACTTTTGTATATTTTAGTTTGTTTTGTAGTTTAGCTATCATATCTGTGTCCTCTCATATTTTGATACTTCTCTGCCATGTTATTTTCTGAAAAATTAACATGGCTGAAACTCCCTAAATTAAAAAAGGCCACAGCTTTGCTGCACATTAAACATTACTATATGAAATATAGAAAAGTTAGGATAAATATAAATGTTTCTATTTTTGCATATACTGATAGTCATTTGATTGCTTATTTTTAAATTCAAAGTAAGAATTTCTCCATCTAAAATGTCACTCGACTTTTTTGTGATTATGAGTCAAAGAAAGCATTCTTGAGTTTCAAATTGGCTTCTGTGGGAACTTGAAACCATCTTCTAATTTATTCCACTTACCTTGTATTGTTTCTCCAAACATATTCTTTGAAAAACGGATTTTAAGGGTGTTAATCAGGGTAATTCTGTGCCATTTTATCAAAAATATTGTTGCTATCTAGAAACAAGCAATTGTGATCTTGTTGTTACCTAGGAACGAGCAACTGTGATGTCACGTCACACTCATGTTAATTCTGGAATCACATGGCAGCCATTTTGGAAATTTCAAAAAAGTTCCCAATTAAAAAGGCTAAATGCTGTTTACAAATTGGAAACTATGGCAGAATCAACAAGGGTTTGTGAAATAATTAGGATATGGTTTCAAAATTATGCACATGACAATATATGACTACTAAATGCAGGCAGGGACTTTTAATTGCCAAAAAGTCGAGTGACATTTTAGATGGAGAAATCCTTAGTCACAAACATTTCTGTTTTGACTGTAGACAGATCTGTTTTCTACAAAATCAGCCTTGAATGAAGGTTAGACATGCAGTAATTGTCATTTCAGAGCCGATTTTAGCCAGGGTAGGCAATTACCTCTGTGGCAGTGCTTGTTTTGTGAAGAGATATATAAAATCTATCTTCTTTTTCATAAGTGTTCAGTAGTGCTTTTTGCACACAAATTCCAGTGGGCGATAATAAGTGAAAATAAAGTTTATTCGAATTTTCACCATGCAGAAATTATCTGACCACATTCTACTGACAGTATGTCCTGTGTATACATATATGCATTATATAATTTTCATTCTGTTGCTTCTTACGCATGAATATAAAGTATTTTAATCAACTTACATGAGCAGAGCGCTTCCGTAACCCTCCACATTTGAAGAGCTGACCTCCAGTTTGAAGATCCCTAATTGAAAGTAAAAAAGGTAGGTGTGATTTCTGTTGATTTTTGCATGATTAAAAGTACTTCCAGTTCAGGAGTGTGTTCGTTTAGTTCATAGATCCTGGCCAGATTCTTTTGTAGTAGGATCAGTAGCTCAATAAATGTTCCTTCAGATGAGACACCAAGAAAATTTCGAAAATGACAACAAAATTTTGTCTACACTCTGTTAAGCATGATAAAAGGCAAGAAGTTTAGTTAGAAATAAAAGAGTTATCTCATGAATGGGACCCTTACATGGCTCCTAAAAGGTAGAAGACACTAAATGGTGTGACACTATAAGCTGAATTTTGTCCACATAGAGCATGTGCACAATACTAAAGACATGTAAAATTGAACTGTCAAAATAATAGAAATTACTCACCAGCTCGCCTCTACCGGAAGTTATGATACGTTATGGTGTAACTACGGTAATTAATTTTAAAATATTGAAAAAATCAACAACATTCAATTTCTAGGGTGTACAACCATTTTCGAGCGAATTTGCCGATATAATAACAATATTTTTGAGTTCCCCTAGGCTATATATAAACTTCATCAATACACAGTATATTCAACATAGGTTTTGCTTCTCGATTTTTAAATATCACTATGCAAAGACAGGGACTCATTTTAGGTAAAATCATTGCTTCACCAATGAACATTAAAGGGAACGTTAGCTCAAAAAATAAAAAAATCCATTACAATGTTAAGTTTATGATTTGAAAGATTGTCTGGATTATATGTGTGATCGATTGATGCATAAACAAACATATTCATTTCAACTTGCAGACCTCCATTCTGGCTCATGTATAGGCCTAAGACGCCATATTGCCTTATGTATTGTACTGCCCATGCGTGCATACTTAATGCGTGACGTCACATCGACAGAGATCAGCGATCAAGTTTGACTAAAAAATTAAAAGATCCACACTTAACAGCACAAAAATGATATCAATGATCGCCTGTTTCATATCAAATAAGTGTAGGATGTAAGGTTTAACATTTTTCATGTTATTTAGTATTTACAGAAGCAGAGCTTGTAAAGAAACCAAGTTTTAAATTCCGATTTTGACTGTTGACAAAAATAAAGAAAAGAGAGAAAGAGGCGACTTGTTAGAAACAATGACATGAAATTGTGAATAAAAAAGATATTATTGTGGGTTTTATTTTTTGAGAGTTCATCAAATACACTCATGTGTATTAATTGAAATATGTATTGTAATACCTCTCAGTTCTACCAAGGATTATAAAAACTGATCGAAATGGCTTCGTTTTTAAAGTATAAAAAACACTACCCTACCCGGAAGTAGTATAACATGTATATTGAAACCATGTGTAAACTGTAAATCACGTGAATTGGCTGATGCAATCGGGATGTGACTAGTACAAAGTAACTATGATGCAATCAGGATATGACTTGTGCAAAATAATTGGCTTCACCTAGAATTCGCGATCTTTGCTCTTTAGCATAACATGAAGACATGTTTTGTGTTCAAGTAGCTAGATTCAAATACAAACTAAATGAATATAACATAAACCAACCATCATTTGTTCCAATCATGGCGAATTTTCAAGGAAATACGTATAACTGAATATAAATCAACAGCGGAGCTCTTCAATTATGAGGTGAGAAAAATGTAAAAATAAAAACAAAAATAAATCTCACAGAATAGAGCTATTTATACGATTCTAAGTACATTTTAAGTGCTCCATACATTAATGTAAGTATAAAAGCCATTAACCTCAACTGAGAAGCACTTTCCAACTATTTTTACGGCTTGAATTGTAAGAAAATGGCACTTATCTCAAAAAATGGAAATTTGAAAGAAGCTCAATTTATTGTGAAGATGAAGTTTATATATATCTGTATATGGGGTTGCGAATATATAGTCATAGTATGGGCTAATTCGCTTAAAAATGGCGATATATACCTCAGAACTTGTATTTTGTGATTTTTTCAATATTTTAAAATTAATTACCGTAGTTACACCATAACGTATCATAACTTCCGGAAGAGGCGAGCTGGTAAGTATATTTCAGTTCTTTTGACAGTTCAATTTTACATGTCTTTAGTATTGTGCACATGCTCTATGTGGACAAAATTCAGCTTATAGTGTTACATCATTTAGTGTCTTCTACCTTTTAGGAGCTATGTAAGAGTCCCATTCATGAGATAACTCTTTTATTTCTAACTAAACTTCTTGCCTTTTATCATGCTTAACAGAGTATATGTCTATGTCTATGTCAATAATCCGCAAAAGGCTAATAAGCCCATATCAAGCAGATATATAATTTAACAGTGATAGAATTTGAATAGAATATAATTTAAAACCTTAACATTTAAAAATAGATCTATGGTTTCCAACTCATTTTACCTGGGGAGACTGTCAGGCTAACCGCGTTGACATCACCCCTCTTTACCAGTAGTGCAGGCTTGTTGCTGTGCACTGGGGACCCTTTACATTAAAACATAGATCTATGTTAAAAACACACCTATTTAATTGCAGTTATTGACATAGGCATAGTATGATGATTTAAAACTACTTAGACTGTCACAGTCTAAGATGTCACCAGGTAGAGTGTTCCATTTAGCTATTGTCCTAGGGAAATAGCTAAATTTGTATGCATCCGTTCTAGTTGATGGTTGTATGAACTTAGAAGGATGATTCAACCTAGTGTTGGTATTGATCTGTTGGCGGAAGTATGGAGGCACGTCGATGGCTGCTAGGTACTGCTTTCCTTTGTAGAAAAGGAAAACTCTAGCAGCCTCTCGACGCTCCTTCAGTGGCTCCCACTGTAGGCCTTGAAGAGCTTTGGTGACGCAGCCTGGTTCCCTTGAGTGACATTTGGTTACAAACCTGGCTGCTCTTCTCTGTACCTGTTCCAACATATCAATATCTTTTTGTCGGTACGGATCCCATGCCGAGCTGGCATACTCTAAATTAGGCCGGACTAGTGACTTATACGCCTGAGCCTTCACTTTTTCAGGGCATTGATGGAGGTTGCGCCTGAGAAATCCAAGCACCTTATTGGCTTTGGATACAATAGTTTGAATATGTGTAGTCCAGCGTAAGTTATTTGTGATGTCAATTCCTAGGTATGGGATGTGTGTTACCGACTTAAGGTTTTCCCCTAGCATGGTGTAATTGTGCATGATAGGGGATTTACCTTTGTGAATATTTAGCACATAGCATTTTGATGGATGGAATTTCATTTGCCATGTTGATGCCCAGGAGACCAGTTTATTTTAGACTTCAAGAATCAAGATGCTACTAGGGACATCTCGCATACCATTGAATAGATTGTCGCGGAATTCTGTACTCATGCATGTTAAAATTATGATGTTAGTTGGAGACCTACCCTTTATTTGACCAGCCCACCTCTTTCCTGTCTCATTTATACAGTTGAAATTGTAATTCTTGAGTTCTTAATTATCGTAAATCCTTCGTTCTATAAGTATAACGTCGAAGCAATTTCAACTTAGAAATTTTAGTTCGTCTGGTCGTTCTGCAAATCTATATGAACACCAAGAAACGAAATTATTTTAATAAGATTTCGCTAAAGCTACTAAACGTGTAGCGAGATATCATATTATTTTCATATATATTCATATAATTTATATATATTCATGTAATTGTCCGTTTATGTTATTAAACTAGTATTGAAATAATGATTTTGATTAGTTAAACACGCGATAAGTTTGACACGCGCATCGTGAACTACCAAAATACTTCACTAAAAACGTAGCAGAGTGATTTCAGAGCATTCAAAGATAGGGTAGGTGCATAGTTTATTGCAGTTTGCTGATGCGTCATTATAAATATAGGTATGCGTAATGGCCATGATATCATCATGGCCATTGGGAAAGGCTACAAAATTTAAGATACAACAAGTGCACAAAGAGCTATAGCAACCTAGTGATAAACCCGCACAGAGAGACTATTACTGTAGGTGACATAAAAGCACCATAAGGATACCAACAACAACAACAACGAAATGACGATTGTGCAGCCATTTCTGGAAATCCGAAGCGTCTTGTTATTCTTTACCTTTTTATCACCAATGAACGTTATTCAAGCAATACTGCGTTGATAACAGGCCAAAACAGTGATATTTTATCGTCGGTCTATTGTCTGTCCAAATCTGAATGCTCCTGTGATTCCAGAAATGTGACGTCAGAATTACAATGATATTTGGACACACAAGAGTCGCATCAAGGGAAAAATATTTGCCGTATTAAAAGTCAAATTACTGTGTCCATAGGTTATTTACTCGAACCAAACAAGTAGAAATAGAAAGATGAAGATCTCAGCTATAAATTAAGTGCAAAATCTGTCACAGGGAAGCAGATACCATTTTGTAAAAGGAACGTTTTGAAAGGTGGTCACTTTTGTTTGAAATCTTGCAATTTAGAGAGGCATCTTCTAAATCATTCTTTGAGCCTTTGAGATCTTACTACAAAACGATCTGGCCAACAACATCTATGGTTTAGTTTCTTTTCAATTGATAAGTTGTTACGGATTTTGAACTTGGACATTTGTTTTTGTCATTTACCAATACCCCCATATCTCTTTCAAACTCAAGGCTTACTCACTATCTGATAGAACAGCCTTTGGTCGCCCTCTATAGGCAATTAGAGAATAGAACTGAAATACTGAATTCAGCTGCTTCTCTTTAAATCTCCAAATGTTCCCTATTTCTCCATTCTCCATTAGCAAAACTCTATAAGTTATTAGAGCTTATCAGGACTTGCCGCCCTTTATCCCGGAATGGACATTTTCTAGCTAGAAATGAAAATGGTGGTTTTGACAGAAATTTACGAAGTAGCGTTTGAAATCTCCAGTTATTTCCGTACCAGAAGTTTAGCAATTTCGCCCCCCTAGCCATGGGCCTGGACCATGTATAGAAGAAAAAACATTACCCTTTGCATTCGTTTGACTTCACTTCTTAAAAGAGAGCTTCGTCTTCACTCTTTCAAACTAAAATAAACCTGTGAACTCACCACGCCAATCACTGTTCGTCGGCCAAATTTGACCGACGTTCTATATATGGTGTTTCCTTCTGACGTCATCGTTGAGCCCGGAATTGACCAATGACATGCGCATATTTAATTAGCACGCATTTGGCGTATGTTTCTTCAAGCTCACTGATTGATGAAAGAAAGGTCAGGGCGTAGGTCAGAAGTGATTTGTTACCCAAACTGTCACCGGTACCCGTCGTGGGGGCGGGGCTACTAAACTGTAATATTGTCTCTGCTAGGCAGAGTGTAGTTTAACTAGACTCTGCGCGCAGGGTAAAAAAACATGGGACTCTAAGGAGGAAGCCATTCAAATTTCTGAACATATAAATAACTACCTAAATTATGCAGTGCATACATTGTCATGTCATTTTGGTTTTCAAGGTACAGCTCTGTCCAGTATTCTCATAAAGTAGCCATGGTAACCAAATTACATGTAGAGGGTTACGATGCATTCAAAGAGACTGTGCCTAAAATAGAAGAGTTTGACAAAAGTGGAAAACCTGTATTTGTGCTGTTCTGTGGGTCACCTGATAAGGAGGGGCACAATTGGTGCCCAGACTGTGTTGCAGGTTTGTAGCTTACTTTTTAATCAGCCATGTAAACAGTGGTTAAATTTTGTCATGCAAATGCCTTGTTTATATTTGGAGATAATAAATATCATATGTACAGTAGAGTACAATAATCAAACATTTTATTCAAATCTTTTTTGTGGATGGCGTTTGGCATTCTGTGGAAAGGGTTTGGTGTTTGACAGTTGGTATTCAGTGTTTGGTGGTCAGTGTCTGTAACAAATGGCAGATGGTAACATTTTGCATGTTAATGCCATGTTTTTCTTAGAATAATCATAACATTCAAACAAGTTTGTGGAAATGACACCTATACTTTACTGACACCTATACTATAATGACACCTATACTGCTGGTGTATGGTTAACTATGTCTTAAAAGATTTTCATAAAAAATTAATAAATGTTTGAAAAACACAAAATGAACCATAAGATTCTTCTTAATTCTAGCTGCACCAGTTGTAGAAAAGGGCCTAGAAGGTGCACCCGAAGATGCCGTTTTTGTCCATGTTGGTGTCGGAGAGAGAAACACGTAAGAAACTTTTACTAGATTGCTTTATTACTTGATTACTTGTTTCACCACCAGGTGGGTAATTTGGGTCAGATGATACAGCAGACAATGAGAGACATGAAAAATAAAGAATCCCACAAAATTGAATGACAAATTAATTTAATTGATCAGCTGCCATCTGACAGTTTGAGGTTGATGAATGATGAGCTTATAAAGAAATGAATTGTTTTTTATCATGTTTACAAGAAGGCGTATTTCAGTTTACACAATTCTTACCTACCCACCCTCCATATCCCTTTTCAACATTTTCAATATTATGGATTTGTGACATTATTTTCTAAACTCATTCCCAATTTGTCTCTGAATAGGAATCCAGTCTCTCCAAAAGATTGATAAAGACCCTATATACCTCAACACATTTCTCAGAACGTTGAACTTGTTCTATTTTATTACAAAAATGTAATGTAAAGAGTTATGAATTCTTCAAAGATAGAATTGCATTGAAATCCAAATTTTTTAGATGTCCGATTTAAGTGACCAAAATTAGGCTGAAAACAATTGAGGTCATGATTTTTCCATATACTATTGAATAATAACTTCTATCGCATTGCAACATCATTCCCCTTCAGAAATAACTGCAGAAGAAACATCGATATGGTAAAAATGAGGAATGTCCTTTTATAGGAAATAAATAAAAACTAGTTCAAAACTAGTTTTTTTAATATAAAAATACACAAAATGGAACAGGAAATACAAATATAAAGTATACAATTGTTTTATTTAATATTTTAAAATCTGTTTTAAATTAGTAACATAAATGCATTTTTCACTCCGGTTGAAAAGGAAGTAAACTATCTCTGCTCATGTAGATATTTTTCATAATATATTTTTTTACAATTTTTTCGGTAAAGGCCTTTTTCCTAAATATACTAAATGAGTGAAATGTGAGTTTACACTTTCACTGTACTATCAACCATTAAGCCAAATTATTATTCAATTTTTATTATGCATTTTACTTTTCAAGTTTGCTAATCATGTTCATAATGGGGGTCGGAGATGATTTAAAGGCTGAAGCAACTTTACAATTGCAGTGTGGTGCATGACCCCAATAAAATATATTTATACAATGTGCATGGTTTTGACCCTTGTTGATCATCTCACTCCAAAGATGTTTAGTAAACAAACATTTTTGTTTACAAACATCCCGTGTCACACGGTTCTATCAAATCTTCTCCATTTCAAAATCTCAGTGTTACTGATAATATAATATAATAATAATATAATATAATATAATATATAGCACCAGGTCAATATTTCATTGTTTCTATTTTTATTAATTACTGGGTGAGCTAATAAAGGTAGCCCAAAACGAATCTCAATAACTCAGTCATCTGGTATGAGTTTAATTCATACTAGGGCCAATTGAACCTTGTTTAATGTTCTTTCATCCTACTAAGTTTCATTGATCTATTTCAAATGGCTGTGATTTCATGGCCATTTTACAAAAACATACTCCAAATACTAAAATCACCCAATATGAACCCAAAGAATTTTATCACTGAGGGTATTTCAAAGATAATGTACACTAAACTAGAGATTAGAAGAAAATGAGAGCCATTATACAAGATATCTGTGAGCATATAGTCAGAAACTCCCCCCGATGCATTCAAAATTGCCTCTTAGATCAGCATTTTGAGCATGTTTTGTAAAATGGTCATAAAATCCATTTGGAATAGACCAATGAAACTTGGTTGAATGAAATATAAACCCAAACCGAAAATTTGTTTGGGTTACCTTTTTTGGCTCATCCTGTACATTAGATTGACTCAGCCTTCCTGAAGAATGTAATTTTAATTGAACATTTATTGATTTTCTCAAATTAAACATGTAAGTGATTTCCTTTTGAAAATCAACAGCTAACAAAGCATATGGTGCTTTCGTGGATATCCTATATACTATATATCCTTATCTTTACCTTTTCCCAACTGATTCATATCCAATATCTATAATTTCAATGGATTTTACTTAGACTAAATATGCAATATAAAAAATATAGTAAATGCACTGTGGTATCTTGAAGGTAAAATCAACAAATTATGCAATTCCCAAAGACGGTTACATAACATTTTTTATAATAGGTCAGTATGGTCAGATTTAGAGTCGGTATTGTGAGATTTTTATCATCTCAAGATGTCAAAGGGCTGGGGACTCATCTCACAGTAGAACAGACCATTTTCTCGCAAGCTTTAGATACAGTAGAGAGATTATGACAAATCTGAATGATGGGACCTAACGATGAATGGACTTCTGATGAATGTGTCTGTGTTGCATCAATCATAACAAACTGCACTGTGACAAACAAACTCTAATGGCTTCATAGGCTTAAGAATAGATGGAGAGAACACATAAAAATTTTCAAATTTTTAAGTCAAGTACAATATCTTTGTAGTAAAACATACCATGCCTGGCTAAATGAGAAAAAAAAATATAGATATAGCAGCAAGAGCTTAGGCTTAGCTCATGAGACATATCATATTATATTACACCATGGTCAGAGCAATATCAGGGCTTCCTAGTCAACTCGTACCCAAGACAACTTGTACCCAAGACAACTCGTACCCAAGACAACTCGTACCCAAGTTTATTTTCAGTATTATGGGTGCATATAAGAAAACAAATTGAGTCTGTGTCAAAATGTTTAATGTTATAATGTGTGTGCCTTATATATTATAATATTTTTTCTGAATTTAGAAGACATTTTTTCTCAATGGATTAAGCAAAGCATTTTGTTTTAACTTGGATTACCTTTTTTAAATGAAAGAAGTGCTTTGAAAGGCTTGTTTTCAACTTTTTTTGTAATACGTTACGTCGTATATATAAATAAATATAATTACAACAGTAACTTTTCAACAAATGAATCAAACAATTAATAGTACAATAACGTAATTTCTGCGGGCAATATAGTGAAATTACTGGACCGAGGGCATACTTCAAACTATTCTGAACTGTATGTAACCATTATAATATGTATATCTATACCCATTCCCAGCCCAACACTTGATTCAAAACATATACAAGGGTACAAGTTGTCTTGGGTACGAGTTGTCTTGGATACGACTTGACTTGGGTACGAGTTGTCTTGGGTACGAGTTGACCAGTTACCATATCAGGTATATAATAGCAAGTGATAAATCAAATCACATATTTGGGACAGTGACGATATGAGGGATAATATCGGGATTAGAGGGATGATATTGATATCATCCCTGGTAAATTCAAAAATTTTACATTTTCTCCAAAAATTCATTTTTTCAAAAATAACATTTTATCAAACTTTTAAGTATAAAAAACATAGTGTTTACAGGAAAATATAAATGATTCTCTCACTTTTATTGCCTAAGTTCTAACTATTGCATGGTTTTCTAATATTACCCCAATGCTTCACTTTTTCATTCACTTCATGTAGCTATATTAGACATGTCTAATCCTATAGATTACAGTATGTTACATTATGCTAGTTTCTGTTTACAGGCCTGAATCCACTTTTAAGTGTTTACAACATCTGGATGGGTCTCATCATTGAATACAGTCATAAACATCTCATATGACTTACTGAAGTAGTCTAGTGATGTTCTGTAATCCTTTCTATTATAGTGGACTACATCTAGCTGGTGCAAAGAGGCAGCTACTCTTGGGTGTGGAGCATCACCATATATCTGTCTCCTCATCTCTAAGCTGTCAGTGGAGTATTTAAGAGCAGCATTGTGATCACCTTTAGCCTGGTAGACTGAACCTAGCATATGTAAAGAGGTAGCTACATCTGGGTGTGGAGCATCACCATATATCTGTCTGTACATCTCTAAGCTGTCAGTGGAGTATTTAAGAGCAGCATTGTGATCACCTTTATCCTTGTAGACTGTACTTAGCTGGTGCAAAGAGGCAGCTACATCTGGGTGTGGAGCATCACCATATATCTGTCTGTACATCTCTAAGCTGTCAGTGGAGTATTTAAGAGCAGCATTGTGATCACCTTTATCCTTGTAGACTGTACTTAGCTGGTGCAAAGAGGCAGCTACATCTGGGTGTGGAGCATCACCATATATCTGCCTCATCATCTCTAGGCTGTCAGTGGAGTATTTAAGAGCAGCATTGTGATCACCTTTAGCCTGGTAGACTGTACCTAGCTGGTGTAAAGAGGTAGCTACATCTGGGTGTGGAGCATCACCATATATCTGCCTCTTCATCTCTAAGCTGTCAGTGAAGTATTTCAGAGCAGCATTGTGATCACCTTTATCCTTGTAGACTGTACTTAGCTGGTGCAAAGAGGCAGCTACATCTGAGTGTGGAGCATCACCATATATCTGCCTCTTCATTTCTAGGCTGTCAGCTGAGTATTTAAGAGCAGCATTGTGATCACCTTTAGCCTGGTAGACTGAACCTAGCATATATAAAGAGGCAGCTACATCTGGGTGTGGAGCATCACCATATATCTGCCTCTTCATCTCTAGGCTGTCAGCTGAGTATTTAAGAGCAGCATTGTGATCACCTTTAGCCTGGTAGACTGTACCTAGCTGGTGTAAAGAGGCAGCTACATCTGAGTGTGGAGCATCACCATATATCTGCCTCTTCATTTCTAAGCTGTCAGTGGAGCAATCAAGAGCAGCATTGTGATCACCTTTATCCTGGTGGACTATACCTAGCTGGTGCAAAGAGACAGCTACATCTGAGTGTGGAGCATCCCCATGTATCTGTCTGTACATCTTCAGGCCAGCAGTGAAGAACTCTAGAGCTTAAGCTATACCTCCTTTAGCCTGGTAGACAGCTCCAGTCTGGGCTAAAGAGATAGCTACATCTGGGTGAGGAGTATCACCATTTATCTGCCTCTTCATCTCCAGGCTGTCACTGAAATACTTTAGAGCTCTTATGTTATCACCTTTTGCCTGGTAGACTGTACCTACCTGGTGTAAAGAGACAGCTACATCTGAGTGTGGAGCATCCCCATGTATCTGTCTGTACATCCTCAGGCCTGCAGTAAAGAACTCTAGAGCTTTAGCTATATCTCCTTTAGCCTGGTAGACAGCTCCAGTCTGGGCTAAAGAGACAGCTACATCTGGGTGAGGAGTATCACCATATATCTGCCTCTTCATCTCCAGGCTGTCACTGAAGTACTTTAGAGCTCTTATCTTATCACCTTTTGCCTGGTAGACTGTACCTACCTGGTGTAAAGAGACAGCTACATCTGAGTGTGGAGCATCCCCATGTATCTGTCTGTACATCTTCAGGCCAGCAGTGAAGAACTCTAGGGCTTTAGCTTTATCACCTTTAGCCCGGTAGACAGCTCCAATCTGGGCTAACGAGACAGCTACATCTGGGTGAGGAGTATCACCATATATCTGCCTCTTCATCTCCAGGCTGTCACTGAAATACTTTAGAGCTCTTATGTTATCACCTTTTGCCTGGTAGACTGTACCTACCTGGTGTAAAGAGACAGCTACATCTGAGTGTGGAGCATCCCCATGTATCTGTCTGTACATCTTCAGGCCAGCAGTGAAGAACTCTAGGGCTTTAGCTTTATCACCTTTAGCCCGGTAGACAGCTCCAATCTGGGCTAAAGAGACAGCTACATCTGGGTGAGGAGTATCACCATATATCTGCCTCTTCATCTCCAGGCTGTCACTGAAATACTTTAGAGCTCTTATGTTATCACCTTTTGCCTGGTAGACTGTACCTACCTGGTGTAAAGAGACAGCTACATCTGAGTGTGGAGCATCCCCATGTATCTGTCTGTACATCTTCAGGCCAGCAGTGAAGAACTCCAGAGCTTTAGCTTTATCACCTTTAGCCCGATAGACAATTCCAATCTGGGCTAAAGAGACAGCTACATCTGGGTGTGGAGCATCACCATATATCTGCCTCTTCATCCCCAGGCTGTCACTGAAATACTTTAGAGCTCTTATGTTATCACCTTTAGCCTGGCAAACTGTACCTACCTGGTGTAAAGAGACAGCTACATCTGAGTGTGGAGCATCCCCATGTATCTGTCTGTATATCCTCAGGCCTGCAGTAAAGAACTCTAGGGCTTTAGCTTTATCACCTTTAGCCCGGTAGACAACTCCAATCTGGGCTGAAGAGACAGCTACATCTGGGTGAGGAGTATCACCATATATCTGCCTCTTCATCTCCAGGCTGTCACTGAAGTACTTTAGAGCTCTTATGTTATCACCTTTTGCCTGGTAGACTGTACCTACCTGGTGTAAAGAGACAGCTACATCTGAGTGTGGAGCATCCCCATGTATCTGTCTGTACATCTTCAGGCCAGCAGTGAAGAACTCCAGGGCTTTAGCTTTATCACCTTTAGCCCGGTAGACAGCTCCAATCTGGGCTAAAGAGACAGCTACATCTGGGTGTGGAGCATCACCATATATCTGCCTCTTCATCTCCAGGCTGTCACTGAAATACTTTAGAGCTCTTATGTAATCACCTTTTGCCTGGTAGACTGTACCTACCTGGTGTAAAGAGACAGCTACATCTGAGTGTGGAGCATCCCCATGTACCTGTCTGTATATCCTCAGGCCTGCAGTAAAGAACTCTAGGGCTTTAGCTTTATCACCTTTAGCCCGGTAGACAACTCCAATCTGGGCTAAAGAGACAGCTACATCTGGGTGTGGAGCATAACCATATATCTGCCTCTTCATCTCCAGGCTGTCACTTAAATACTTTAGAGCTCTTATGTAATCACCTTTTGCCTGGTAGACTTTACCTAGCTGGTGTAAAGAGACAGCTACATCTGTGTGTGGAGCATCACCATGAATTTGTTTACTAATTTTAAGACTTTCTTCAAAATAAGTTGAAGAAATACTATGCTTGTCTATACTGTGATATAAACTTCCCAATGTATATTTTATGTCATTCATCTGTTGTAAAGTACCATTAACTTGTACTGAATCCTGTTCTTTTTTAAAAGCCTCAATTGCACTGTCAAAAATATTCATACTTTGAAATATTTCCCCTTTAACTGTGTTGGAATTATCAAAGTACCTTTTTTTCCACTTCCAATTATCAGAGTTGTTTTTATTGCCTATTTTACATTCAACCTGAAGGAAATCTAACCAAGGCTTAAAGGTGTAACAAAATCGAAATATTGCACTATAATCACGAACTGACATTGATTTTGATGGATCATCATCATCTTGTGGTCGGGTGAAACAGATATCATCATGTTGTCTGTTATATCTGCTGTATACTAAATGACGGAGGTTTATAGCAATGCAAACCATGAGTTTTAGATCTCTACAAGCCTTTGGTTCAATTATACCTTTCTTTTCAAGGTCACTGAGGATATCAAGGGGGGCATCAAACTCACACCCATATTTCAATTTTAAGGTATTGATAGATATTGTTGCAAACCTATAGATATCCTTTTTAGTATGTATTTGGGAGGAGAGGGATTTTGGAGTGAAAGGATGTTTAGAGAAGTTCTCAAGGTCTTCTTTCATTGTATCCATACCTCGTTCATAGGCTATAGAGTTCTCGGATCCCTTTGATGGAGAGGCAAGGATTTGATTAATCATGGATGTGTATTCATCAACTAGCTCTTCATACCCATGAAGGAGAGTCTTTGACTGAAGGACATCACTTAGATGATAGCCCTCCTTCTCTGACTTGTCCTCCTGTTGGCACTCAGCCATCTCTGATAGGGTCATTATGAGTTCAATGGGTTCAGGTCTGTTTTGAGTTGCTTTACGGCCAAGTGGAGTCTTGCTTGCCCATGGAGAGGCACCATCAAACGAGATGCCCTGGGGTGTAATATCATCAAAAAAGTCATTATCTTTAACTCCCTCAAGGAGCTTGTTGTGATCATTGAGAACTGGGATGCTCAGACAGTAAGGAAGTGTTTCAGACAGATTGAGGATTTTGATATGAATGTAGTGGGCAAGTACTCTAAAATATGCCTTGATATCCTCAATTTGTTCTGGGGATTTCCCTGTAGGATCATACAGTACTGAAAACTCTAGATCTGACCAGGCTGTTGCCTCTTTACGAGCCAATGAGCCATGACCTAATATGGCATATCTACATTGAGGGACACCTAAAACTTTCATACAATCTTCAATAACTGAGTTGTGAAACCATTTTATCTTGTCAGTGAGCTCATTATAAAATACATTGCTTTCTTCAATTGTTTGAATTTCGGCTTCTTCACTCATATCTGCTGTGATGGACAAATCTATTTTCATAACATTCTCGTGAATATGGTTGATAGTGTTTGTCTCATATTCACGCACCTTATTTATCAATGAATTGAGCTTCGTTGCACTTTCAGATGTTGACATATTGCTAACCTTTGGGGTGCTCGGTACTTTCTTTAAAAATTCAGTCTCTGTAACCTGGAGTCTTTCTTTGATATTTGCAATACGACTACCTGTGTTATGATCCTCATTGTCCTGTTGGATCTTTTGGTATCTCCTCAGTGCAGCATTTAGGAGGCAACATGCTTTTGTAAAGTACCAGCCTTCAGGTGATGTTTCAGTGAGCTTGAGGTATTCTTCAGCCAGCTCACACATATCTTTGGCCTGTTGTTCTATCTGTTTACTGTTCTTCTGTTTTTTGCCATATTTAGCAATACGCTGGCCTAGTCTGTACATGTAGGTAGATGTTTCTGAATAAAGATGAAAAAGAAGTTTGCATGTTTTAAAAGTGGGACTAAAAGCTTACAATTAACTTGTTTTATAAGACCTAAGGTCTGTTGGTCAGATGAAGCATAATGGTCAGAAAAAATTGAAAAATTGATCCCCTGTCGAAAGTTTGTTAAGAAAAATCTTCATGCTAATCAATAAATACTACACCAATTATAGAATATTCTTTTTAAGCTCTCATTCTTGGGCTGTAAATAAACATAGCATATACACAGGCTGGTATCGAAATATTTGTCCGCTGTGACGGAGCATGCTATTTTTCATAAAAACACTAAGAATACTTCACGATTTATTTTTTAACTCATATGTTTCGTTAAACCATACAAAATTACTTACTCCATGCAATGGATATATCATTTGCGGGTAACTTTCACTTCTGTTTGAAGTCCAATTACGCTGGGAAGAAAAGCTATTGAAAATGGCGCCGGAGTATCATACTTCAAAATGTACCATTTCTTGTTTAACTTTCTAATGGCACGATAAAGTGACACGATAATATTAACACATGGTTTCAGCATAACTATGAAGGTATAAACAAGATGTTGATGTATTTGGTCTTTTTAATTCTTTTATAAAAAATAATGTTTAATTTTTTTGTCCGCTGTGACGGAGCAGTTGCAAATGTGAACTGTGAAAATGCTCCGTCACAGCGGACAAAAAATATTAATATTATTTTTTATTAAAAAATTAAAAAGACCCAATGCATTAATATCTCATTAATACATTCAGAGTTATGCTTTAAACATATGTTAATATTATCGTGTCACTATATCATGCCATTAACAAGTTAAAAAAGAAATGGTACATTTTAGAGTTTGATACTCTGGCGCCGTTTTCAATAGATTTTACTCCTAGCGTTATTGGACTTCAAACAGAAGTGAAGGTTACACGCAAATGATATATCCATTGCATGGAGTAAGTAATTATCTTTGATATAACGAAACATATGAGTTAAAAAATAAATCGTGAAGCATTCTTAGTGTTTTTATGAAAAATAGCATGCTCCGTCACAGCGGACAAATCTTTCGATACCAGCCTGTGATATAGGATCTTGAATATTGAAGTTTTGCATACTTGTACTTTGACATGTCACTCTATGTACAAAGTGCTTAAAACTGTCTGTTATTACTGTTTTTGACAATTTAACTATTTGTTTGGCTTGTCTCACCTCCAGTGTCATTGAGGCTATTAGATCTTGTCGTTTCTTTGGCTTCTTTACGTGATTGAGATCTTTGAAGAAATCGTTCTTTACCCTTTGGTGCATCAAGGGGGGCTATAAAAAGAAATTCATTATGGGAGGAGTTAAGATAGAAAAATCTTTTTTATTTCAGGACATTTTACAGTAAACTTGTATCAGTGAGCATCTCCTATTTCTATAAACATTTTTGGTCAACAACTTTTTTTCTCATTTACTCACATGTTTGGGTAGTATATAGTCCATGTTTAGAAATTCGATTGCCATGGTAATTAGATTGCCATGGTAATTGGAGTACCATGCTATTTCCAGTACCATAATAACTCATAGCACACATGCTCTATATCTTTTAGTTTTTGTCAGAGTTGAAAAACCTAGATTGTTAGTTGAGGATTAATAAATGCATGTATTCCAGATGTATAAAAAAGGAGAAATTCTTTGATCTGAATTTTTGGTAAAGTATGTCACTGAATTTCATGAATTTTCATATTCTGTAAAGTAAAACTAATTCCCTAAACTAATAGTCTTTGCAAAAAACTGAAAGCTGAGACCATATTAAATTGCGTTATGTTTACCTGAAAATAATATAGAAATCCAATTAGGAAGCAATTAAAATTTCTGAACATAAGGAACTTCCTTAAACTACCTTTTTATTGTAGCAGACTATCTACTTTGAACAGTAAACACTAAATCTTTGAAATTCCATTGGATTTACTTGTCTTAATAACCAACATTAGTAAAGCAGACAAACGAAAAATTTCAATCCCCTCAAATTTCTGTCAAAAAAGGAAAATGTTTGGGGAGAAATCCCTTTAAACTATGTGTTTTTTATGTTTAGTTACTTCTTTTGATAGATCCATAAACTCTCAAAAATATATAGTCCCAATAACCATGACCTTGAGTTACTTGATGATTTATGAAACATTCTACACCAACCTGAATCTTGTGATTGCCCTGCTCCATGATTCTCAACATTCTGTATATCCAAGTGTTCAATTAATGATGAAACTTCATCTTGTTCTTGAGCATTCATGTTCGATGCTGTTGCTGTGTTAACTTTGGCTGGTATTGTCTGAATGGTAGGAACGTGTGCAAAATCAAGTCCAATATAGATAAGCAATACTAATTTTTATTTATGACAATTTGAAGAGGTCCGAAGTGTGAAAAAATCTTTTAAATCTAAAATAAGACTTATGTAAAGTGGTCATGTACTTGTACACATAACACTTTCAGAATAATATTGTACTTCAACATTAAACATTTTAAATGTTTGGTAATTAGTGGATGAGGGGGAAATTTCAATTTCAGTCACATGAAATTGATCAATCGCCAGATCTCTCATATGGGAAAAGACCTCAAGATTCCCATATTTTTCAAAGAATAAAACACTTGTTAATATGAAAAAATCTCCCTACCATATAAAGGTACTCAAGTATGAAGTGGTTTAAAAGTATAAGGTGCATGTATATGCCTTTATGTTTATATTTCAGTGATAACATAGTATGATTTTTCTCTGAATTCCAGGTGGAAGGATCCCAACTGTTCATTTAGAACTGACCCAACATTAAGGCTTACATCTGTACCAACACTTCTCAAATGGGGAACTGTAAGTAGCTAAGTAGCTATCAATTTTTCTTAAGGGTCAGGCTGTAGCCAGCTTTTGCCAAGGAGGTTCACTTATCCCCAAATTAAGGGGTTGCACATGAAAAAAATATGGTCCAAAATCACTCAAAAAACCTCAGAATGGTGAAAAACTGCATGCTTTTGAAATAATTCTTGGACAGGGGGGTTAATCAATTATATTTTGTTCTGTAGTTGTATTCTAAGTCTTTTTATGTCATTACCATCACATAAGTGCCACTGTTCAGTGCTGGCATCTAACAATGGCTATAGTTTTGTCATTTTCAATCTAGTACTGTATTGAAACATGTAGTAACATATCACAAATATCAATGTATTGTTTCTGTATGTTACTCATAATGAGTGTATTTTTCATTTTGTGTATTTTCAGCCCCAGAAGCTTGGTGACTCAGAATGTAGTAAACAAGACCTAGTGGACATGTTACTACAAGATGACTAGCTACATCAGGGGGGATTATCTATCAGAAGTCTTATCAGAAGCCTCTAGTTTTTGGGTGTATTTTTACAATTAATCCCTGTCCCTTTAGACCCGCAATTGAAAGGAAGTTCTAAATTCTAATACTTTATAAAAATGAAGTGGCTTCTGATTTGTAGTAGTCTTCAATTGTATGTTCCAAAGGGTCTTCTATATTGACACTATGCAAAAGTCATTAGGTGTCAAAAATGAAATACATTATATTTTGAGGGGCCTTATATCACTAATCCCCCTCCCTCCTGCAATATAGAGCACAGAGACTTTTGCCAAATAATTCCAAACAATATAACATTCTCTTTAGCTTTAAATTTATGGACTATAAAAAAAGGTGTGACCAATAAAAAGATTACTTACATCATCTAAAATCATGTTCTTATCAAGTCAGGTATTTGATACTTGAACTTTGATAAAAGAAGACGTGTTACTATAATTCATCATATGATGATGGTCTTAAAGAAAATGCATTACAATTACAGTTTATAAGTTAACATTTGATCAGTCCATATATTTGTAATACACTGTACATGTTTTAGAAAGGAGAATGCATTAAATGTATACATTGATTATCTAAAAATGCACATTCAATTCCTACTTTTGGGAATTGAAATAAAATGATTTTTATGTGATTTATATGCAAAAATATCAGTTACTTCTGTCTCAAAGCAAGTGCATTTCTTGAAGTATGTAATAAATCAGGAATAAAATGTAACAATTAAGTAAAAGAAATATTGTTTTCATGTTTTTAAATAGGGTTTATAAGTAGTGACTTTTTATGGAGGAGCTGCAGTAAAAAATCCACTAAGGTGTGATTAAAATCCACTTAGCTGGGATTAAAAGTATGCTGTTGTGCACCAAGGATTTTTCCAGGGGGTGCGACATAGGCTAAAGGATGATAGAATAAAGAGCAGGCCTCCTGGACTTCCACTAACGCGAGCCTCAGTTCTGACCTCACAGACTATGTTCCTTCCACCCGAACCACAGTTCTCACAACGCATGGTTCAAGTGGAAGGAAAATAGTCTGCGAGGTCAGAACTGAGGCTCGCATTGGTGGACGTCTAGGAGGCCTGAAGAGCTGAAGAGGGCACGCCAATCATCTGGGTTAATAAAGGTTTATAGGATTCTACCGGTGCTGCCATCTTTACATCGGCCCAAAACCTACATCTTAATTCACCATCTTAAAAGCCTGGCACCTCACCTCTATCGCAGTCTTATATTCCTGGACAATGAACAAAATCTCCAGGGGAAAATTAACTGTCTCTAAAAGGAAGTATGTCTGTGTTCCCAGCAGGCTAGGGCATTTACAGGTTATGTCTAGACAAATACATCACCATATAGTTAATAGTACAGGACAATCTGTCTAATCCAAACACCTCCCTGTCTTATCCAAACACCTCCCTGTCTAATCCAAACACCTTCCTGTCTAATCCAAACACCTCCCTGTCTAATCCAAAAACCTCCTTGTCTGATCCAAACATCTCTTGGGCAAGCCAAAAGTGTTCAGATGAGCAGGTCCTTGATCTTCAAGGTTTTTTAACATGTTAGCCTGTTGGAGATACCATATGTAATGACCTGAGAGCATGCTCATCTGGGGAGCTGTAGTATAACGAACCAGATACTGAACATGAAAGGGAGTGTGCCATATTCAACGCACCATGAGTTATTCGAACCCAGGACCTTCTGCTTCATAGACCGATGCTCTATCCCTGAGCCATAAGGGCTAGCCACTGCAGTTGAGACTGTAGTAGCAACTTGCTATTGAAGGTCATTACGCAAAACTGGGACTAAAAGTGTTCACATTGAGAGGTGTTTGGATTAGAGAAGTGTTTACTGTACATAGAATGTAGAGGCAATAGTGTTGCAGACATGAAAAATTGTCTTCATAAAAGCCAATTTAACCTAATACAAATGCTCTTATCAATGCAAGTGAAATGTTAATACTGTAAATGTTATAAAGATAGCAACAGTGTTGATTATTTGCGACATCTTTTGTTTGTGCCTCACTTTTAGTATTTGGAAACTAATTTCTGTTTTTTCTCGTTTTTTTATTCTAATCTAGATTCCTAGGTCTCATTCTCTTCTTGCAAATGGTTTAAATTAGATTCACACATGACAAACGCCAGCTATTGTCCACGAACAATTGGAGACAACAACAATATGTCAGCACTTCAGCTTCTGTAACAGAGAGTATATAACTGAAAACAATATGTATTTTTATGTAAAATTTTTGTGTTTTTATTTTGGATTTCTCATACATTTACATGCTACTAATTTTTGTGTGCATAATTTCCCATAATGCCTCATACAAAATGGCTGAAACATCTGCAGACAAATTGCACGTCATAATATATCAGTTCAAAAAAGGATATATTGCAATTGTGTTTAATACATATTTAGATTGAAAACATTAAGTATCGGTCTACACTATTTTCTACTAAACAATCCTGTTGACCAATCAACATTGATTATATACAGCATTATGTTCAAATTTCAAACTATTGAAATTTCAAACTCACGCCTGGAATGATGGTGGAAGGAATGACAAACAATGAATTCACCCAAGATTTAACATGATCAACTTTCTTTCAGTCTAAATGATTGAACACAAAGTATGGAGTCTCCCGTATAAAATAGTGCACATTTAATGAATTTTCACCATGAGAATTGCATGGCAAACATTGAAAGGTATGACCCAATGCTTAAATTTCCACAAAAATACACTATTCTATAATGGACACGTCCACCAAATTAAATTTGAACATGTATTACAAATTCCACCAAGTTTTAGATTTTGATTGTGTCCGAGAACACACTGGGGTTGATGATGAAATAAACACATGCATACATATGAATCATCTGACACTCCTCATTGAGATACTTTCATTAATATTGAATTGGACTAAAAATATTTCAACACTACTAAAAGTAAAACCGTACAGGTATTTTGTAGAGGAATCTAGCTGAATGCACTTGGATAAACACTATATGCACATGGATCAAATTAAATGCACATGAATACAGGTTGAATGCACATGGATACAAGTTGAATGCACATGGATACCAGTTGAATGCACATGGATACAAACACTAAACTGGATGAATACATTATCTTTTGGCTTATATGGCAACGTAAAATATGGCTTAGCTGAGTCTTTCAGAGATTCTAATAGCCAAAATATATCAGGAGGAGTCTAAACTGCACATTGTTGGTCCACTATCCATTTATAATAAAACATTTGGCCAAAATTATACATTCATTCAGTGACATGAAAGGGACACTTTTATATTGATAATTTACAGCTCCCCATGTTGAATCTTTGAAACGTTGCACTTTTGGCATGAATCTTTGGACAAATATTCCAATGAAACAGTTCCCACGTGCAATCAGCTAGACCCCCCAACATATCCCACCACCATATTGTTCATATATACATTTACAGTCTCTACAAGCCTACATACAACAGTCACATGACCAACACATTGGCCACCTGGTGAGTGAGCACATACCAACACTAGGTGGCGCTAGCTCAGCCATTTTATAAGCATATTAGATCCACTGTAAGATCCCATACCCTGAACATCAAAAATCAAAACTGATTTGCAATTCATCAGTTTTGCAAAATTGCGTACTAGTATAATCCTTTAATTCATTGTTTATAGCCTCAAAAAAGTTCAAATGATACCATTTTTCTAAAAAAATTAAATCAATTTAATGCTGAGTGTCATTTGGCACATAACAAAATGATTCAAACCGAATAAAATATTTTACTTTCTCTACAGTTTGGAAACCATGCCCAACATTGTAAAATGAACCACAATGTAAAAAGAATTGCGTTGATTTTGGGTTTTGATGCAAAGGGCACAGATCTCTACGATATGTGTTCTATATCTTGAATTCATATTACAGAGGTTGATTTAGACCCGATCCACCTTCTGATCTCTTGATTCATGAAAATATATAGTAAAGCATACAGTATAGGGTTGATATTCCTTCAATGGTACATGGTTAATGGTAAATCACATCCAGAATATTGGAAACGAAAATTGGTAGATTATGTTTAACTGGAAAGCACTATGGACTAGCTCTATTGCCAACAATGATGTGTAGTTCAATGGGTTTCAAAGAATGATTGGATCGACAAATATGGGTGATATCGATGTTGTCTAACACGAGTGAATCAGATGCAATTATTTATCATACCAAAATACGCTTTTGCATATCCCGAATGGGTTTACCACAAACCTTGATACCTCAAATTGGATTTGTACATTATTGAACTTTATTTTGTTCAGTTTATAAATATAGGCAAGATATTCTACATTCATACCTCATTATACAGAATTTCACCTTCATGTAACCCACCAAATAACCTTGTGTAGTTTAAGTCTGTTAATTTAGAAAAGCAACTGTTTTGAGAAAAGGTTATGGAAAAGGGAAAACTTTGTAGGAAAAAGCAATCTTTGGCAGTCAGGAACCTGAGGAAATTTGGGGATTTTTTTAAAAACAAAACCTGTCACTGGCTCATTGGTACATCATGTGAAGGTGAAATTCTCGATAAAAAAATGTGCAAAGTTCTCAAAAGCATTTCACATCTATTTATCTACAATACACATTTGAAATGCTTCTCAGAATTTCATTGCACAAAATTTTCCATTGCTCGGAATTTTCCATTGCACGGAAATTTCCGACTACATTATTATAATTCATATGTTTATAGTAATCATCACACACACACACACATTGATATATAAATGAACGGAAAATTAGATGACACTACACAAATATAATAGTAATATGTATAACAACATTCTGTAAAAAATCTTCGTCATATCGTGTTAAATTCTCTAAAAGCCAACAAGAAAGTAAGACGCCCTACTGCTATTTAAACGCTACTCAAGCTTGTGACATCATAATGCTTTAATACATTGGTAGAACCAACTCACCTTCAACCCAACCCAAATTCAAGATAACTTATCAGGTGATATAGTGAAATTGCATGCTGGTTGTGCATTTTCTCAAAATATTCATGGAATAAAGAAGAATTTCAAAGAAACTGCATGACCAAGTACAAAAACTGCAAGACATTGATGTCATGATCTGTCAACCTCATTATTTGATAGAATCCTTGAAAAGGGGTGTTGACCTAATATTTAATTGGCGGGTTGTAGAGGTCAATTTGAGGTGAAGTTGAGTTGGTTCCGCCTCCAACAACACTCAGTGCTTGTTTACATAAAAATTATTAATCAATACACCTTTCTCTATGTACAACTATATACAGTTTAATAGACCAACTTTGGTTGCTCAATTTGGTTTGGTTTTTGGACTCCGGTTGCATCAGGTCTGAGTGACCTTTCCAGACAACATTCTCTCATTCGCACTCTCTTTATGTCTATATCGCTAAACTACTTACAGGCCGAGACTCTATCTTTCTAAAAGCCTAATTCTGAAAACTTGTAAAATTCTTTGTTAAAACCTATCTGTTTCATTCAGTCGCTTGATTTGTTATTGCATCTTTATGCCGCCATTTTATTTGTGTTGCTATAGCAATTATTGAGTCACTATAGCAACGAGATCTAAGCTGGCTTTTTCTGAGACTCTTTACACATTGTCCTAACAACTATCTTTATTATGCAGTCCAGAAAAAATCTTTGGTTTTTCTTTTATTCGCTGCATAATTTGACAAAATCCGATCTCCTTCATTCACTGTTATCTGTTATCCAGTGCAAATATTACACGATAAATAGTTTAAATACATGTGACAGCAAAGCCACCAAATAAGGTACACCCATATATGGTAGTCCGCAAATGCTGAATACTGCCATATTTTTCATATGGTGAACATGCGTTATTGTGCATACTGTTAAATATTTAACAATACATTAATGTTGATTGCATTGATTGATACTTCCATTCTATTTACATTTTTTTTTATCAAAATACAATGCTTAAATGGCAAATATGCTTTGTACAATACAGATTGATGAATAGTCTTAATTTACATAATTTTCAACTAAATATTATTCAAACTACCCTTGCAAAAGTTAACACTACATTTTGTATTAAAACATACAGTTTGTAATATCATCATTCCATTAAGGGAACTCCATAAAGGTGACCATTTATGATTTCCTAAAATTCACAAACTATTTTGCAAGGGACACACATTAATATTTCATCAGACCATGGCTGCATAGTGGTGCCACCTATTGAAGCCCTTATGTACAACCATGTAGCCATAGTAACATATTTCATACAAACCACTTAATGTTGATAATTTAATGATCAACAAATGAGAATCTGATCATGTTCAGATTTCAACATATAATGTCAGCATAGAAATGTTCTTACACATTCAAAAATAAAATGGATGTTGTGTACATATATATGTATATACTGTAATATGGTCCTTTTTAGAAAACCTCAGAAATTCCTGATTTTCAAAATTAAATTTATTTCACTGTAGTTGTTATTGCAAAATCTTAAATAATTTCCTGAATCATGTATCAAAATGTTATTTTCGTGAAAAATTTGATCAAATATGCTCAGATTTTACTCTTTAAATGATCAAAACATCTCATGCTGCCTCTCTATACCCCAGGAGTTATACAGAGTGCCTGATATCATGGTCAGATTCTCATTTGTAAGCGAAACATTATGTCACATTATTTCATAATAATCAGCATTAGGCATCATTGTAAATAATAGGGAGGTTGAGTTCAATGCATTTAAGAGAACTTTAACATGAATGTGAAATATTATGACCCCACGGGAATTACTGAACCACTCTCAAATGGTTTTCTAGGAACCTTATAAAAAGTCCCTTCCCTCGTACTCATTTGGGCCAGTAAATACTAGGATGGTATTTTCTATAGAGGACTACAATTATACACATTCACGTACAAGTTGTCCCTAAAACATGAACCTCAACCTCCCTAATAAATAACATGTTCTGACTCAATTTTCCGGAGACTAAAATCACACAGGATTTGCACTAAAGTTGCACAAATGATTTCTCGCCTAATTTCAGATTCATTCTTTGTTGTATGTTCTTTATTAGAGGTAGCCATGAAGTGTGGATAAAGACCAGATATATCATACCTCCACAATAAATAAGTGTTTCCAAATGTACATATGTTTATAAATACCGTGTACCGTCCAATCAGTACACATCAGATTTGAATTTCAAATACTTTATACATCAAATGAGAATAAATTATCCTATATACCTTGTTGTCTCAGTCTTGATAGCGTTTCTACAGCAACGTGCAGAATAGATGTATTGCAACATGCAGAAGTGGACCCTAAATTAATCACCCAAGACTCCCTCTTTTGAGCACTTTCAGAACTACATGACGTCTGCCAAGATCTATGAATGAGTATCCCACTGAGAATCTTACTCCCTCTAGTGAGAGAAAACTATATTACATTTTTAAAATGAAGTAATAAATTAGTTGAGATTTTATTCATTTTATGTTGGTATTGCTTCCCTCAAGGGGAGATTCTCAAGTGGTGTGAGCAGTTTTTGGACTGTGTTTTACCCATAATACCTTGGGTGTAAATGCAAACAGCAGACGCATGTTAGTGACACCTTTCACCTTTCAGTGGCAGCTGTGATACAAAATGTGTGAATGTACTGCAACTCCTATGACTACGAAGCTGCCTCTGAGAGGTGAATAGCTCACTGGGAATGCGTTGTTTGAGACAACATTGAGGGAGAGGGGTTGTACAGTACTGTAAAACATGTAATCTTCCTCTATTTTACAGTATGTGTTACTGTATTATGCTCAAAGTTGAACGTATGATTGCCTAACTCACTTCAACTAAAGCTTGTAGTTATAAAAAAACATTGCATAAAATCTCCTCTAGTCTTTGCACCAATAATATCATTGCAATAAAAATCCACTGCAGCTAATTTTCGTGTCGTAAATTCAAATTTTGTAGACATGCTCTTTGACATTGTTATCTTGCATTGCTAAAAAGGCCCCGCCAACTTTGTTCCTTTTTGTATATAATAATAATACTTTCATATGTGCCTCATGCAAAATGGCACAATTATTCCGCATACACACATTTCCTCTTAGTCAATTGTGGTGAAATATTTACAAGCATAAAACATTAAACTAAGACGTATGTGGACTACTATGACATCACAAGTATGACATCATCAGCTGTGAGTTTCCATATTCCACACAAGATGGCAGCACCTTCAGTTAATAAACCTCCACTAGAGGGCAGTACTATTTGGTACAGATTTCTGACACCAGGTGGAGTTATTCCCACTGGTGAGGAGAGGGGGGAAGTTCTGAGTGTTGTGCTACAGTAGAGTTGGCGAAGCTCTTGAAGGCCACGGAGCTTGGATTAATGCATAATGGGATTCGCGTGTGACTTTGTTGCTCGTGTATGAATTTGTACAGCTTGTCTGCAAGATAAATAAAAACATCCAATTTATATATACAGTTCTAGATACAATAAATTTAGTTGATAAATAACATTATGTTTAAATATTAACTACATGTATAACAAGGGTTTACAATACGTATGTTATTCAAAATTTAGATCTTAACAAAATCAAGAATCATACAATTTCTACTTAACAAAATTACTGGTGATAGCCCATATATTGTGCAGTTATACTAAATCCCCTATCATCTTGATGTCTACAAATCACAGTTGGATCTTCTCACCTTTGACTTTGTGTAGAGATGTGAGCTCATCCTCGAATGTGTAACTGAATGGATTTGGACAGATGGGTTCGAAGTCGGAGGTATATTGGCGCCCACCAGGCGTATTGTGGCAACATTTACACATGCAAGAGTGGTAACGTAACCTGCCCTCGTCTAAATAAGGATGAGCTAGCACGTCAGTGGCGGTGATACGTTTGTCCTGCAACACACAGTATCAACACATTTAGGGGTCTATTTATATATGCACATTGATTTAGCTTGTTGGTACAATTCAAAGTCAAACTGTCTCTACAAGCAAATGCTGAACAACAACTTATTGTATTTATTATAAAAAGACACATTGCCAATCTAAATAAACAAGTTTTATTGTATTTGTTACAATGTGTCACATAAAATAAACAATATAAATGTGGAGACAAAGAAGAAAAAATTACAAATATTCAGTTACTTTCCCATGACAAGCAAAACTATTACTATGTACTCACTGGGTCCATGACAAGCATGCGGCAGAGTAAGTGAACTGCTTCATGTGTGGCCTGATTTGATAGTGTATAAAGTGCCGCCATGGATGGAGATTTTGTGCCGCCACGTAGGACGTGTGCTTTGGCACCCTCACAGGCCGTCTTCATGTCTGACAGACTGGGAGTTCCTAAGAGATCAGTAATGAGATCCAACTGAAAATAGAAAAAATCATGTTTGAATGAATATCTGATTCTGACACATATCTAAGATAAGGATAAGACGTTATTTTGACAAAGCTGAAATCATATAAATCAAGGCTTCTTACTTCTACCTATATTGGGGGAGTGGGCGATGTTTTAAGTTGATAAAAACAGATAAATATATACTTTTTAAATGATTTTATTATTTTTTCATGAGGTTTCATTATCACATTTTAATTCATTAATTCAATAACGTCATGATTGTAGAATTCCTCAAAACAACAGGCGATTTTGGGATAAACAACTTTTTGTTGTGTGCTGTTTATCCCCCAGAAACCAGAATTATTGCTATTCTAGATATCAAAATTAATATGCGCTGCGTAGATACGTAATTCTGGACTGTGTTTCATTTAATAGCAAAAACTTCAATATTCACTCTAAGTTGGACTTTTAGGAGGGAACGAGGATTTTCCAAAAGCCAAGCACTGTGCCAACTTTGGCCAAAGCTTGGGAGCTCCCTGGTTTATAACTACTGTAGTAACTTTTATTACCATCTATTCAGTCATTTCCATTTTTATGAACTTTCAAAACGTGACACCATAATTCATGACATGATGACATCATAATGGGCAATTATACCATGTGGCAATATTTTTATATCTTGATATTATATACAGTCAATGATGAACATGTATGAACGTCCCTTAGAAATTCTATATCATTTCCATACATTTCTAAACAAAACCATGGAATAATAGAGAAAAAAACATGAACTTGCATGAACCTGAATGTTTTGACAAACAAAGCAATTTAGATATTCTTTCATCAATTTACATTTTTATGATTAAATTTACATTATCAATGTTGAAAATTGAAATTATTGTAATGATGTCGAGATGGTTATAATTTATGGTTTAACCACACCTTTAGATTGACCCAACTTTATTTTACCTTATAAGTTTAATAAAAATCAATGCACTGCTTTTGCATGAAATTTAGGAGGATAATAGAGGATGGAATAAGTCAATTTGCATGTTTACCAGACTGGTTGAGCTTTTAGTTTATAAATATGGGAGTTGTGTTTTACTTCTTTGAATTTTTGTAAAAAGTTAATTTGTGTTTTACTTCTTTGAATTTTTGTAAAAAGTTAATTTGTGTTTTACTTCTTTGAATTTTTGTAATTTGAAAAAATGGGAAATATTAGATAAGCCCATATCAAACCCAGCAGTTCTAAGGGGTAGACTGATTGAGCTTGAACCGTAACATATTTACAGTGGAAATGAATTAAAATCTTGAAACAAGGATGGGAGTATATGGTAGGGGGAAGGGTATCATTGAATGGTCTTTATTACATGTAACTGAATCCAAGTTTTGTTTATTTCAAGAACAATGTTTAAATTTAACATGATTCTTAAATATAAAAATTCGAAGGAATGTGTAAATGGATTTTCAATGGGGTGAAAGGTGTATCTCAAATGGGTGCTTCACCTGGTTGAAATTCTGAGGATATCCCTATGTTTATAACTTACTAGTTATCAACTACATCCCATTTGAAATAACAATAGACTCATAGAACAATACCAAAGTATGTTCAGAAAAATGTTTTTTTTTGATTAATTAGAAATGAGCACTTCACCCTAAGGTTTCTTATTACAAAACATGAAATATCAAATTCAATACAAAGTGGGATGTCAATACAAAGTGGGATGTCAACACAAAGTAGGATGTTAGCTCGCACGGTTGAACAAACTCTAGAAATGTCTTCTTCTTGTCATTCCTAAGACACATGCGGTTATACACATATTTGGTAGAGAGTTACACATTTGAGTTAATCAGCCCTCAAGGACGTTGCAATGTGTCACATGACTTGCCTTTGCGGCATTTTTGCTCTTATTATGACATCATCTCAATGTGGCACGCGTTCCTTATTAGAACATGCCTCAAACTACAGTTTATGCATATATTATGATGCACAGTATATTTCATAGGTCACGAAGGGTTGAAATCAACATTTAGTTGCATGGCTAAATTGCTAATTGGTTTCATATTGACAAACAAGTGCACAGGTATATGTTTGTAATCACATAAAAATGCAACGTGACTTGCAAATGAATGGCCAGTGTATTCACTTAAATAATCTCAGAGGCTTGCAGTATCACTGTAGAGAAACTTTTTTTTTTGAGAAACTCTGTTTTAATAAATCCAAACACTTGAGTGTGTATTTGTATTAACCATGATCCAAACATGACTTTAATTAAATGTACCAAAACTATAAAAAATTGCAGAATAAAGAAATTGTGTAACCTAGACTTGTTTACAAATTTATACCTAGGAATGCGATTCATGTAACTGACACAGATGTAGACGTGAATGGACAGGTTTACAGAAATCGTGTCGGGAAGTTTGTGATACTCCAAAATACTCAGAGCATGGTCCTTATAATTACCGATGTTTTTCAGTTTGGAAAATAAAGGACAAGGATTTAGGACAAGGATTTGCTGATTGTATTTCATCGCAGATTTCAACTCACTTGTTGTATTGGGCTCTGGGCCTGAAATAATATTCTTCGTCCAAGGAGTTCAGCGAATATACACCCGACGCTCCAAATATCAATTGCAGACCCATAATGCTTTGTGCCCATGAGTATCTCTGGGGCTCTGTAGTATTGCGTAACGACTTCTTGCGTCATATGTCTGTTATCATCTGGCTCATCTATCCTCGCCAAACCAAAGTCACAAATCTGCAAATAAATAAACAAATATTTGGTTTATAATTTTTTTAGAGTTTTTACGATAATTTATTTTATTGTTTTTTTATGTCAGACTTTTTGTGACTTTAAAATCTAAAAAAAATTCAAAAAAATATATTTTACTTCATGGTTTTAAGCCAATATATTATTTGACTTAACACCAATGTGAAATATAAAGTGTCACAATTCAATAATAAAAAGTACATGTAAACATATAACTCATGGAATGTACAGTTAGGTTAGGATATTATCTACAATGACACTGATGAATAAATCCACACAAAGTTTGAGGAAAGCTTTAACACAAAATCTTATAAACAAATACACATGAGAAGGCAACACACTGATCACTGAGTGCATATTCACTTATATGAGAAGGCATCACACTGATCACTGAGTGCATATTCACTTATATGAGAAGGCATCACACTGATCACTGAGTACATATTCACTTATATGAGAAGGCATCACACTGATCACTGAGTGCATATTCACTTATATGAGAAGGCAACACACTGATCACTGAGTACATATTCACTTATATGAGAAGGCAACACACTAATCACTGGGTACATATTCACTTATATGAGAAGGCATCACACTGATCACTGGGTACATATTCACTTATATGAGAAGGCATCACACTGATCACTGGGTACATATTCACTTATATGAGAAGGCATCACACTGATCACTGAGTACATATTCACTTATATGAGAAGGCAACACACTGATCACTGGGTACATATTCACTTATATGAGAAGGCATCACACTGATCACTGGGTACATATTCACTTATATGAGAAGGCAACACACTGATCACTGAGTACATATTCACTTATATGAGAAGGCAACACACTGATCACTGAGTACATATTCACTTATATGAGAAGGCAACACACTGATCACTGAGTACATATTCACTTATATGAAAAGGCAACACACTGATCACTGAGTACGTATTTACTTATATGAGAAGGCAACACACTGATCACTGAGTACATATTCACTTATATGAGAAGGCAACACTGAGTACATATTCACTTATATGAGAAGGCAACACACTGATCACTGAGTACATATTCACTTATATGAGAAGGCAACACACTGATCACTGAGTACATATTCACTTATATGAGAAGGCAACACACTGATCACTGAGTACATATTTACTTATATGAGAAGGCAACACACTGATCACTGAGTACATATTCACTTATATGAGAAGGCAACACACTGATCACTGAGTACATATTCACTTATATGAGAAGGCAACACACTGATCACTGAGTACATATTCACTTATATGAGAAGGCAACACACTGATCACTGAGTACATATTCACTTATATGAGAAGGCAACACACTGATCACTGAGTACATATTCACTTATATGAGAAGTCAACACACTGATCACTGAGTACATATTCACTTATATGAGAAGGCAACACACTGATCACTGAGTACATATTCACTTATATGAGAAGGCAACACACTGATCACTGAGTACATATTCACTTATATGAGAAGGCAACACACTGATCACTGAGTACATATTCACTTATAAAGGTAATTGAGCATATTCACTATCACAACAAGGAACTCAGGAATAAATAAACAATTCGAATATATTTTGACTAAGATGCTAAATACACAGAGGACTAGCTTATTTGTAATTCACTGATTAAACTAAATTACATTGAGAACAGTGGCATGGTAACAGGTGTAAAATAAAACAAAAACCATGGCAACAAGGTATTCATTGTTTGGATTTAATCAATACACTCTAGGTTTTGTTTCTTAATTAATTAATTCAATCTTATACATTATCTTTAATAAGGACGCATGATTTTCAACTTATCAAATGTTCTGAAAAACGCGCCAAATTAAACAAATGAGATACCGCAAAGGTCAGCAAGTACTCCTTAAGTTTAAAATAACCACCAAAATAATACCTTCATTTTTCTGTGGTTTTATAAGACAGGCATTGGCAAATAGGCTAAATGTAATAGAAGACAAAAAGGAAATAAGTTGAGGCCTTATATTAAGAAATTCCAAAATTGTGGTTTTAATGTAATGGGGTAGGGATGCATTGTTGAGAACAAAGAATGGATTCAAAGATATAATGAATATGAGTGCAAGATGAGTGTGAAAATGAGTGTAATTGATGAGTGCACATGTTAAAAGATGAAAAAATTCTCGTTGAATTTTGCATTGAATGTCATCATTACATTTTCAGAGATATCTCGTGAAAATTCAGCCAGACATGATACTAATATAAAGCACCATTAATTCTAATCACCTTGGCCTTGTGAGGTCAACTTCACTATACAAAACTTTGAGCCAAAATTCCCCAGAAATATCTGGCAAAAGATTACGATATTTTCCTGTCAATTTGTAGAAATATATTTGATTATAGAAGATTTGACATTGGAGGGTAAAATCCCTTGTTTTTCTTAGGATTTCTTGCATATTTGTAATGAGGGAAATACAGGGGAAGAATACCAAACATTACAAATCAGGCCATGTCCTTAGTTATTGAGATTTCTAAACATCATTGAATAGAAGTACACACATATAGTAATATAGCTTGGGTGGATTCAGGACAAGGGCCTGACTATATTATATTATACGACAACTGTTTCTAAGAATTCAATCAATTGCTTATACAATAACATCCTAGTATCTTGTATCACCATGACAATGCTTAATCTAGCAACAGCATTTATCACTAAGACATGTTATGTCATCATGATATCTCTATGACGATACTATCTAAATCTAAGCATAGTAAAACATGCCATTTGCCTGGCAAGGAACAATTTGGTAATAATGCGATAATGTTCATCTCCAAATGCAGGAAAAAATCCTGTGAAAAACAATGCATATTTCGGGAAACTATTTACTAACCTTGAGAACACAGTTGCTGTTGACCAATAGATTGCCAGGCTTGATGTCTCGATGTAACACTCGTGCCGAATGCAGATATTTTAAACCTAGAAAAATAAAATAAAAGTAATAAAATTATTCTTTCTGGATGTCCCCTGGAGGTTTCAAATTTTTGTAATTATGTTTTTCAAATACAATTTCTGGGATGCGACAATTGCAACTAACAGGCAAGAATTAATAAATCGTTTATAAAATGTTTTCTTTAGTTTACATAAATCCATAATTTGGATGGATTCAACGATGTATACACATAATATGCTTAATAATAAAACACAACAATTTATGTAATGAAACGTTGAATAAAAAATTACATATATTATATTGTTAAAGGCCCCATATAATTTTTATGGCCACTACCTTAATAAACACTCATTAATAGTTTATATTATTAACTCACTTGCTAATTTTGTAAATTTCAATAATATAAATATTATATAAACATGAATTAGCCCCCCTAAAATTGACAGAGGAGGATACATTCTTTTTCTTGAAAATATCAAAGATTTCTAAATTTGAATTTTTTATTACGATGATGACAACCATTTCGTAAAGAAATTCAATTATTCATAATCATAATTCAAATGTGAGCATTTTCAAAGTGAATACTTGTTCAAAAGTTACTCTGGAACTACTTTTTGACCTGGACTATATTCTTTGTGCCGCTTCACTTACCTCTCATGATTTGGTACAGGAATACTTTGACATGGTCTGAGGTGAGAGGTTGCGGAGAGACGATGATCTTGTGTAAATCACTCTGCATCAATTCTGTTATTACATAGCTATCATACAGTTAAGGAATATTTCAACTATTTGACATATTTTTCACTTCATATCTGTGACATTATAACAAAAAATATGATATTCCGTGAGATTGATTGCTGTTTTGGCACTCGGAATCAAGCTATGAATCGTGTATCAGGGTATTCATCAAAAATTTATTAACAAATAATTTCTTAATTTCCAGTTTCTAAACCTAATCACCAATATTACTTTTATTACAAAATGAGATTTGCAAATTTAATTAATTAAAATCAGAGACATTTTTCTAAGGTAGTACTTTAGTAATTTCAGCAACAAATTCAATAAATAACCTTTTAAAACACCACAAAGTGCAGAATCAGTGAGGTTAATAACATCTTAACAACGAGGTACTATGGTTACCATCTCTAAAGCAAAATAAAAAATACAGCTAAATAAAAACAGCAAGAAAACACTCAAAATTATATTGCAAAACAGAATTGTCAAGTAACCATGGCTTATGGAAACAAGGAGTGGGAAGAGATTTTATTGTCCTATCTCCATGGAGACAATAGCTTCACTTAAAGGCCTGGTATAAAGATGCATTTCTTGCATAGAAACACATGTGTATTCAGGTGCAAAACTCCAGCCTGTCCCTCTCAACTCCAGTCTACTAGTCCTTGTTTTTGAAATACTGACAATTTTTTCATATATTGCATTTCTTGCAATAAACTACAAAGAAAGAAAGGTTTTTATAGGATTTTAGGTTACAGTGAAGAACAGTGAATAATATTGTTAATGGTTTATGGGAGGACATGTCCTACACTGCTTTAATTATCAGCTGTGATACTCTGTTACCATGGAAACCAACTTTGTTTATTTTGACATTTGACCACATGGCCAACAGATAACCTGTTGACTTCATCCAAAGAAGGTCCAACTCTCAGAATCACTAAAGGTAGAATTAAGCAATACTGATATCTGATTCGCTGAGAGATGTCACATGACTTGTGGTCAATACATAGGAAAACACCTGCTTTGACCAAGGACTAACAGACAAAGAGACACCAAAGCTTGAGAGGCCAACGGGGTCAACCTCTAAACTGGTCTTCAACACAAAGACCCATTCATCTCTGCCAATGTGTCTACATAGGCATTGTGTCAAAGAAAAGAGCCTATAAATCTACCTTGCTTGAATTATGGAGTCACAAATAAAAAGTTTTTCCTTAATTTTGTGTAAGAGGGATTTGTAAGATTACGTAGAATTAATGCATACTTAACTCTAAAATAATAGAGCAGGTGTTATTAAATCACATTAATATTTTAAAAGAGAATTAATTGAAATATTTCCTATTTGTTTCAATACTGATATCTTATTGTCATGGAAAATAGAGACAACATACATGAAATCAAACTAGTGCCAGATTTACAATCAATATCAGAAATTAGTGAATCGCATTACAGTGAAACCTGTATATATGAACACCTCTCCCATCTGAACACCTCTCAATTTGAACACTTTTCTGGTCAAATATTTGCTATCTCCTATTGATTTAGAGGTTAATAAAACCTTGAATTGTGAACACCTGCTAATCTGAACACTTGAATCCAAACACAAAGGTGTTCGAAAAGATGGATTTTACTATATTAGAACCCCTTTCTAAGAAGATCTGAGATCTGAGAGGAATGTGTGACCCTCTGGAGACCTGGACTGGCCTGGTAGAAGGTAGAATTATTAGAAAGCACACTGAGGTGAAGCCCAGGTCAGTAGATACACAACAGATGTGGTCCCTATCTCTTATAAACATTCTACCCCCAAATAAAATACAAAATGGTCACATTCATAAATTGAAGATAATTAAAAGAAGGAGAATATTAATATCAAATATGCATAAATTACTTTTAAAAATACATATCTTTGGTTGATTGTATTAGTTTTTAATATGATGAAAATATATATATATATATGATCCAAGTGATAATTAAAACAAGGCAGGTAGGTTGTATCTAGGTGGGTGACACTATAATTGACAAATGATGAGTATGATGAAAAATGAAAATAAAACCATGAAGAGCCTAATTAAAAGGTTAGAATACATTCATACTAAGAATATTTAATATTAATAGAGTTCTCTTGAGAAAACCAGCGAAGATTAAAAAAAATGTAGGGGTCACCAATCTTTTAAAATCAAAGGCCAGATTTCTTTTTCCAAACCAAAACATGTAAATCTTTTAAAGAAGATATTAAACAGAACCTAAACAAGGTCAGTCATTTTTCCCATGAGTCCAAAAACTTCAAAACATAACTTTTTCTTTACAAACATTCAAGAATCCTATCTAGCTTAAAGCTAGGTCACCTAATTTTCTGGTTTTAGATACCCTGACTCTAAAATAACTAACCTCTGACTGTAACAGTTAATTTTATACTACAAATACATGAGATCTGATCTTAACAATCTCGAATGGATCTTAATTAAAATTGGCTACTTATTGGCACGTAAAATCAATGAATAATGATCTAAGAATTATCTCTAATCTAAAGGCTAAAAAGAGTGTAAAAGTAAAACTCTTGAAAAAGGGTGAATTAAGAATGAGTTCATAGATAATATAATATTATCAAATAAATATGAGATAACATAGAACAAAAGTATGATGTAATAGATCGTAATAGGAATAACGTAATTAATGAAAATTGATGACATCATAGAAATACTGATGTGGACTTTAGATTGGTATAAATTAGGTGACTCACTGGAATTACCCTGGAGTCAGATGTCAAATTCTATGCATCATCATCAAACCTAATTTAACCTTGACCTTTGAAATATTTTAATTAAAATACCCATGATTCAATATGTCATAGAACGTGGCAAGAATTTATGTTTTACGATAAAACAGCTTCATAAAACTATGTTAGCTAATCTTAGCAGTAGGCAAGGCCAGGGGTTGTTAGAATCCATACAAAACCACAAGTGAATTCAATTTCCTCTATGACTTCATCATTTTAAGAACTCCAGAGCTTTCCCAGGTCATTTTCCCACACGTTGGCCTCCCAATCTCCCAATCAACCCTTTGCATCAACTTAGTTATGTCTGCATCTAACCATGCAGTATTTTATAGATGGTATATTTACCCAGTCAAAAGACACCTGTAAAAGGCCAACAACTCTATAAATCCATATATGGATTATCTATGTTTTTGTTGGGTAAAGCACAAGACTATTCTAGTAAAGCAAGGGATGAGGTTTCTGTTATCATCAGATATATAAATATATAACATAAATATATAACATACCTTTAGTTTCATATGATGAATGTGCAATAATGTGCATAAGAGAATAATATATGAACAATGTCTGCACATTGTACACATACCAGCAGATTCTAATTTAGTGTTTTAGAATTTTTGAAACTTTCTGCTTAAAAGGCTTGCTGATTATAATAAGAGGCCAATTCTGGGTGTTTAGAATTAATCAGAGGTGCGACACCAGATTTCTATGGGGTGGGGGGGGGGGGGGGGTAGACTCTTCTCAAGCTCTATGGCAGGCATCATGAGAGTTCATAATGGAGCTCAATGCATCCATACATCAGTCAGAGTGCCCTTTGATATATATTTGATGTCCTCTGTATGATGAGCTCTCAGGGGGCCTTCTTTGTTATATTTTCACATAATGGAAAGAGGCAGGTATCTTAACCTTTAGCAGACCACCGGCGACCGCGTCCGCCCATTCAAAACTACCCCCAGAATCCACCGGCGGATCCGGACGACACAAATCTAACTTTTGAAAACTTTACTTTTTCCCGCCGTTCTTATGATCCAATTAGATTGCCCGATTTATTCAGTCCTTAGTAGGTGACTTCCTGTTGACCTAGAAATGGCGATGTTTCGAAAAATATTTCTCAATTCAACAATTCAACAGTGTTTAAGTCATTTTTAGTGAACAAATCGTACAAAATGACGGCCAAATACGATCACAACGAAAATGTGGAGGAAATGGATTGCGATTTCGAGCTCTTTAGGCTCTTGGAAGCCGATAATGGTCATCGAAAATAGAAACTAGAATATTTTCTGAACTGAAAAGAAGAACATTCGATCTCTGCAAATTCAGTTTTGGATTCTGACCAGACGTTGAATCTCCCGAGGGGCGAAACGGCGGATTCTGGAGGAGTATTCATGGTATATTCAAGCCCAGTCGTGTTTATGTACGAAAAAAATTCATGAGAACATTTTTCTCATGAGCCACGCTAGTGTATCTTCCCTTTGTGAAAATTTTATCCAGATTCATTCAGTAGTTATTGAGATATTAATTATTTAGTCCAGGCATATCATTTTTGAAAAATAAGTCAGATGCGTGGGATATATTTGCTGAAATAAGTCGGAGTGCAGAAGGTTAACAATGGAGAAAGGTCACTTTTTCAGGGTTCATGGCAACAGAAAATCTAAACTGAAGATGTGAAGTATGAACTATGAATACAACATTTAGTAGCATTTTGGAATCCATTTTGTAACTAACACCAATTTATTAACAGAAACATTAAATTTTACTTTTACACAAACTTATTGACCGACCTGCCCTGGTATATACATAATACTTAAATGATCAAATAATGCAAGGGGGCAAGCCATTCTCCAGTTGAAATTGCCATTTTGTATACTGAACTTTATAGGTTGTCTAGATCAATTTATGAATGGCTCACTATGACCTGATACCTGGGAGCAAAATTGTGGCAGTTTTATGTTGGTCTACTAGTGACACTTTCAATCTAATTTCTAAAGTCTACAATCCTACCAGAGAACACAATGATCATAAAATAAGAAAACTTGAAAAACAACCACAGGATTTTCTAATTTTGCAATTAAGAAATTACTTGCAGTTTTGCAGTTTGGGATTTCGCTGATCAACATTTCTTTCAATAGTTCCTTTGTTATCTTCTTGTTTGTTTATTTTATTAGATAAAGGATACATTTCCTGGAAGAAGTCTATTTGTGGAGGTTGGAGGATATCTAAAGCCAGCAATACCTGAAAATACATAAAGTAAATAAATATAAGCAAATGAACAAATATGTTGAGTAAACAAATATTCTGAGTAAACAAATTTGAGTAAACAAAGGATATCGCTGATAAATAAATATCAATGAAACATTATTGGGTAAACACTTACTGATCATTAAATTTAATAAAAAATTAAATACATATTAATCATTTGCTTGTTGCATAAACAACACTTCTTGACAATAAAATTTATTTCCACTTTCAGTATAACTAACTTTATACTAGTAACAGCCTGAGTGTCAATTATGACATTTTCAAAAGCCAATATCATATTTTTTAAAGGAAAAAATTATATTCTATCACAACCGTCAATAACGAGGGAAACTCCATTGCACATATACAAACATTTTCCCACGGAATATCTTTAACTCTGAATGTATTCAGATCATGATCGCAACTTGGCAAAATGAGCAATATAGTCTACAATGACAATGATTTGAGTTAATCAACGTATCAAGATGGGAATTAGACAACTCTATGTCTGACTTTCAGCCTACTGGCCATTCACTCCTGTTGAAAGATCACAGGGTTCTGTCTGAGCCTTCTCTTGCCTGTAGAACTAAGGTAGGGCAAGGGTTAGGGCATATATGTTAAGTTCATTAAAGTCAAAAAAGAGACAGATAATGTCTACAAATAAGCCAAAAAATGACATATATCTTCTCTATATAGGGAATCACCATAATTCTCATTTCAATTGAAAAAATATCAATTTACTTGTTTTAATGCTAGGATATACCAATGTTAATACAAAAGAAGTGACCTACTGCATGTATATGGGCTCCAGAATCAACTGTTATATGATCCAATATCTAATCTTGTATACATTTATCTGTCTATTCACAGGATACATAACCTAAATATAACACAATACAGAGACTTTCTGGGGTTATTTTTAAGAGAAAACACAATTTTAAATACAACTAGCAAAAATTGATTTGCAAATGTTCAGATTAGCAGGTGTTCACATTTTAAGATTTTATTAACACGAAAGTCAATGGGAGAAAGAAATTTGGGATTGAAAAAAGTGTTCACATATGAGGTGTTTGTATAAGAGAGGTGTTTGGATATATGGACTTCACTGTACTATACTGACGGCAAAGGTACTCAAAGCACATACTTTTTCCAGACAATCTAACCTAGATACCAACACAGGCAGATGTTTCCGACCAAAATAACACATCTTCATGAATAACATCCACCAATGATCACGTCTCTCTGAGGAATACGAGAGAAATGACAAAAATAAACAAGGACCTCATACAATGTATAAAAGCTCCAATCTAAATGATCAAGGGAGAGGATATTTTGAACTTTGAGTTGATGATCTAAAAGGGATTTGCATGGAAAATGGTGGTATTTTTAGCATGGGTAGGCTGTAGTTGGACCAAAGGTAGAGCTATATTGGGGCACTGTGCTATCAATTAGCATTACATTAGCAACTGCATCATTCACATAACATTGGAATTTGGTATTATTTTGAGAGATTTGCATTCATGAAAAATTCCATTCATAGACACGATTTTTATTAAAGAGTGAAAGAACTCTAGGAAACGCTACAAAGTACCTACAGTAAAACCTATTAATTCTGAACACCTCTTGAATCAGTCAAGTGTTCAGATGAGCAGGTGTTTATATCTCAAGGTTTAATAAATGTAAGTCAATGGGAGATAAGAAATTTGGGACCAAAAAACATGTTCATATAGAGAGGTGTTCAGATAAGAGACTTGTTCTGATATACAGGTTTCACTACATTTCAGTGGATGGTTTGGTAAAGTGTTCACATTGAGAGGTGTTCCGATAAGAGAGGTTCCGATATACAGGTTTCACTGTACTTATGTACTTGACATTACTTTAAGGCTATTCCAATTCCATCAAATTGTTCGAGATGGAACTTGGGAAAAAGAAGTTCAAATTTTGCATATGAAACCCATTATGGTATCTATAGTGGCTCTCAAAGAGGATATAATGTAGATGCTCTCGCAAATGTTAAATAACGAATTAAATAATTAAATAATGGGAGTCTGGAAATCAGAATTCCACAAACATGTGTTAGGGCTAAAAAGCAGGAACATTCATAGAGGGGTGCTTAGAGGGATGGTAGATATATAGAATGACTCACTGTGGTTTCCTCTGAATAAGTCTTCAACCATACATAGATAGATCTTGAAAACCATGTTTTAGACTGTATGCTGTATGTATATAGTCAGTATGGTTGCTAGGTTGCTATAGGCTATTGGTAATCATGATTTCATATGTCACATCTTTTAACAATGGCCTTCCTATAGGGTGTAATAGAGCCATATGGTGTAATAGAGACCATTGCCTCTTCAACATTAGCCTTCCAATGGGGACTTATATATTTATTTATAGGTCTACTCAAAGTGTTCATGTATGAAAGGTGTTCCCATATGAAGTGTTCCCATATAGTGAAGTGTTCATACTGAGGTCATGAGAGATAGTAAAGTAGACTATCCCAACACTGCCACTGTGATGATTGAAAATGTTAACCTACATATGCTGATATTAGTTATTAACCCTTATAACCAGGGTATTGCAAGGTACTTATAAGTGTATGAATCTAGGTTAGCAAGGCTGTAGTACAGCTGCATGGCTGGTGGTGAGATCATCTACCTGCTTTCTCTCATTTCATGTGAAATACTAAGAGTTTGGAGTTTTTGCTAGGTAGATTAGTCATAAGTCCCTAGACACATTATCTACCCTGGCTCCGGATGTGAAGGCGTGAAGTTTTGGAAGGGGGGGGGGGAGTAAGGGGGTTACAAATTTATAGATTAGTCATAAGTCCCTAGACACCCTATCTACTCTAGGACCAGATGTGAAGGTGTGAAGTTTTGAAGGGGGGGGGGAGTAAGGGGGTTACAAATTTATAGATTAGTCATAAGTCCCTTAAGACACCCAATCTACTCTGGCTCCAGATGTGAAGGTGTGAAGTTTTGGAAGGGAGGGGGTGGGGGGAGTTACAAGCTTATTAGGCAGATCTGGGGGTCACAAAGGTTAGAAGCAAGACAAACTTGATAGACAATATTTGTTATTGTATTACATAAAAACAGTACCCTTTGCAAAATAGTAGAACAAGACAATAGGATTCAAAGTGATAAAACAACTGATTAAAGGTGTACCAATCTGCTTAAACAGGTGTATGTGAAGATTGGAGAAAACCACTTTTAATATGAAAGCAACCTCAAATGCATTCATTATTTTGAGGAGGGGGTTATATTGATGTATTTGCTTATACTTTATCCTGAATCACCATGGCAACAATATACACATGTGGTAGTTAGCTACTAAGGACTGTATCAACATGTTTTGAGTGAAATGTCACCACTTCTAAATATTCATACAGTTTGGTGGGATATGGCATTTCCTGACTGTACAGGTTGATTGTTGTGTCAACGCAACCGTAGTAACTGGCTCTTGTGAAAATTCTCACATATCAAATTCAACAAATTCAGATGTGAAACAAATCTTGACAGCTTTTAATATTGTGTTTTTAAATACATTATCCTAGGATATTTTTCTGTAATCTTAAGCAACTGTGTCCATTGGTTCAGCCATAGACAACACTCGGGTTTGAGATGAGCTCAAGGCACATGGTGATTTTCTGATTTTTCTCAATGAGTCTCATATCAGGCTACTGTCTTTCCATCTCAACCACATCTTCAATGTGGCACATGGTTGAGAAATATAGATAGGGAAATGGGCCTTATTTAGGGACTTTCTTTGAATTTTGAAAAATATTCTTCCTTTTTACGATTCATGATGAAGCAATTAAAGATCACATTTTCCTTGTTGAGTACTAGTATTCAACTTCGAGTTATTCAGTTATTTTTTAATAAGTGTTAAAATTAAATGAAGCTGTTTTCTAGCCATGATAGAAACCACAAAATAATATTACAGGTTGATTCAAAATCACATATTCTGATTAATGATAAGGTTGGCTGTTTTGCTAACTTATGATCATCTAATATATCTTAACCCTCAGATCAAAGTACAAATAACTACCCACTGAATAAGACAAAAATAATATTGTGATACTCATTTAAAAAACAGAATAACCCAAAGAGCTCTTGTGGCCTTTTAATGGATTTTGAATATAAAACAATGTCATTTAGGTATTATTGCAAAATTATTGGAAAATACATTCAATCTATGATCACCCAATTATTTTTTCAAATTATTATTTTTTCTTTATTTTGTCACTTCAATTGCCAAGGTCTTTCATGGAAAAAGCATGTACGTTTGTGTGTATCTACTCAAGAGAATATGGTGTGTACTTAAGAAATTATTAGAAAGGGCAGTCACTTTTTGTAACATTTTCAGACTATTTTATCATGATCATGATCTATGTGTCATCCTTGTTGTGATAAGGATATTTGTTTGATATTTCCTGTTCTTTTGCCAATTTCTTTCTCACTTATCTTAAAAGCATAAAAACACATCAAACATTTTAACAGCTGAAGAAAATGTTTTCCTATCCGCGTTAAGTGTATATATGAGTAAGGTAGAGGGTCAGATTTTTAAAATTCAATGAGGGCTCAAAATCACTTGAAAAGTGCTCAAACAACTGCATGATTTTGAATTTTTTTTGACTAGGAGGGATTCACAAATTATCCAATCAACCCCCCCCCCCAGCCCCGGTTATGGACCTGCATATTGACAGTTAATGGTAATACTAATACTTATAATACTTAGTACTTACATTGTCATGCTTGAAATGGGACAGCATTTTCAGTTCTCTGTAAACACGTTTGGCTGAGATCAGATTCTGGAAGACATTTGGCATCTTCTTGAGCGCAACGCGTTTACCATCCCTGGGATCTGTTACAGACCTGAAACACAGAATACAATACATGAGAAAATAGCGTTTACCATTCTTTGGATCTGTTACAGACCTGAAACACAGAATACAATACATGAGAAAATAGCGTTTACCATCCCTTGGATCTGTTACAGACCTGAAACACAGAATACAATACATGAGAAAACAATATACATTTATGGTACATATAAAATATAATGTATCAGCAGAATATAATATATTCTTAGTTAACTGCTACTATTTTGATAGAACTTTGTACCAGCATATAAGAATACAATATGAGAAAACAATAAATCTAAAAAATGCCATCCATAAATCAGAGAGAAATAACCACTGTGCAATATTCAAGAATATAATAACTATATGAAAACTGATAACTAACTGACCAAATGGTCAAATTCTTGCAAGATATATCAGGTGAAGGCATGTTTAAAAATATGATCTCAGACACCATGTAGTTCTGGGAGACATGCTTCATGAACACACAGTGGGAAAATGATAAAATAAATCCATGAAACATGGGTTTTGTTGGGACAAACTTCCTGTTTCTATATACTGTACTAAACAGCTATAATCTGAAATGTGATAAAATTATCTAATTATGATATGATAAGTTCTGTGAAAAGCATTCTGATAGGAATTAAATATAAATACAGTAAAACCTGTATAATAAGAACACATTTGGTGCCTCTAAAAGTGTTCCTGTTCAACAAGTGAATAGGTTGTGGGACTTTGAAAAGTGTTCCACTTATGGAGATGTTCTATTTTACAGGTTTCACTGTATCATGACTGTAATTTTATTTATTATACAAATTGGCAACAAACATTTAAAGTAAACAGAGATCTAGTAAACTCATTGACAGAAACACCAGTTTGATAGTACTCATCAGTCATCACATCTTCCCTTTTTCAAACGTTCAATATGAAAAAAATAAATGAATAAATGAAGTGATCTCCTACAGAGCAGACTTGTTTAACATGACTAGCTACTTACTCACCCCCACTATTTATAAAAATTATGCGACAATTATCATAACCAATTTGTTTTTGAATAATAAGATATCATGAGTAATAAGTTTTTATTATAAGTTACAATTTATAAGCACTGTACCATAGTTCAGGCTAACACCTCCTACTTATAACAACAACAATTATGAGACACTTAACTAACGTATTAACAAGTGACGAATATGTCATTGTAATGACATCAGAGAGTCAATAAAAGATACATATATATAACTCTTACACAACAATCATATTTGATATTTAATACCCCCACAATGATATAATTAATCAGAAATGTAGACGCACCCCCGACTTACAAATTATACAAAAATTAGCGCAATTTGGCTAATTTTAGCCAACATTGTATAAAAGTGAGATTTTTCACCTACTCAAGAAAGTGGCCAATTTCAAGTTTTTTGGTTTCATATTATTAATAAAAAGACACACACCAGTCTGTGACACCTGGCTTATCCAACTGCCAGCACTGGGACAGGCCAAGTGTTCAGATTAGCAAGTGTTCAGATTAGCAAGTGTTCAGATTAGCAAGTGTTCAGATTAGCAAGTGTTCAGATTAGCAACTGTTCAGATTAGCAAGTGTTCAGATTAGCAACTGTTTAAATTCAAGGTTTTATTTATGTAAGTCAATGGGATAAAAACTTGGGTCTGAGAAAAAGTGTTCACATTGGGAGATTTTGGGATTAGAGAGCTGTTCAAAATTTCAGCTTCATCCCGCATATAAAATTTGAAATGCCGTATTGATACCTTAGGCTTTGATTGCGATAACAATCCTAACACTAATCCTATTTTCGATTTGGTATCTAAAGAAGACACATGTAGCTATTCACATGACAGATGGCACTTCCAGGTATGGGGTAAATTGGTAAATAAAACAAGTACTTCCAGGTATGGGGTAAATTAGTATATAAAACAGGTACAGATGGTTATAATGCAAAAATTGGCCAAAAAAACCAACATGATGCCCAAACTTGAATAAGTACTCACCAGATTTGAGAAATAAGTATAACCAAAAAAGTGAGTGATTTCTTTTTTACATTGGCAACAATTTGGTATCATCATCATCGGTTTTAGGAGTATAGGGGTGGGTGCCTGTGTGTTCCTCCCTTCCAAATATAGAGAAATTAATCTTGGTACTTTGGTATTTTATTTCCCAAAGTTAACTGTGAGTTATATGACAAAACTAAACTGGTATTTGACAAAAACCTAGTGAGTGCACTGATCATCAGTCTATTACACAAAGACAAGAAACACAGCAATTAGTGCAACTAGAGCATATAAATATGATTTTCCTGGAGCTGTCATTACAACGACAGGCTGATTCCAATACATCTAAATGCTGTTTTTTTAATACCAGGTTTGTTTGTAACAAATACTAAAAAGTAAAAGCTGACAAATGACAGAAACCTTGCACCATTATTTTATTAATTGCTATTCAACATACAACTCCCAGATATTGCACAGGGGCCTGGATTATGGTGCTTAATAATACAAACTAATACAAGGGCCTCTATTCTTACCATTTCACCAGGAGCTGACTTAATCCTAATCCAAGATTAGAGCCAAATCAATCCAGATACCCTGTTAAGACTTGTATAGCCAATTGGGCCAAACATATATATCAGCAATGAGTCAGAACATATGAAATCATGAGCCATACCATACCATACCATACCATACCATACCATACCATACCATACCATACAAATCAAAGTCAAACCAAGAATGCAATGAGCAGTATAAAACGATTGCCCCACAAATATGTAGCCACATTGTACAAATCATTGGCCACATCACCCATTCAATTCAAAGAGCCACGGACAAATCTGGGGAAATGCTGAAGATTTACAAAAAGCTTAGAAACAAGTTTGACAAAAACCTTATTGTTTTTCTGGTTTACATTCAGGCCTATGTACCCCTCTACATTCATGATATAACATGTATCAAAGAGCAATAGTTGAATGCAACATACAACATTGAGCATATACACCCTTTACCACTGCCCCCAGGATTCCGTGTTTGCAGAGCGCGGACGGAATTTGCCTCTGCCCGCGGAATTGCAGAATCAACTATTTTGGTCAATTTCCGCCGAATTTTCCGCAGAATCCATATATTTTCCAAAAGTTTAAAAAGTCAGTCTTACCTGTAACAATTTGACACGTTTTCAGTCAAATCCCTTGCAGAAATAACCCAAATTATGCGAAGTGAAAATTCTAAACGCCATCGTTTGATTTCTGCCGTTAGATGGCAGCATGTATGTAGTGACTGAGACTGACTACCTGACTATCACGATATTCTCCCGTTTACTGGTTCGAAAACCATTAGTTTTTCTTTCGGTTCTCGTCAGAAAGTTAAACAAAGACATAAATTAATAACAGTTATTTATATTATTAAGTTATTGATCGAAAACTTCGAACTCCAATGAGATATTACACTTAAAACCTGATTTATATATATCGTGATTCCCATTATGCGCCCGATCCTCCGTGTTTGAAGTTTCGAAACCGCAAAAAAATGCCGCGAATATCCGCGGAATTTCTGCAGAATTAGCCCTTTCTTCTTGCAGAATTCACTAATTTCACTTGCAGAATTGAGCATTTTAACTTGCAGAAAACTGGGGGGAGTGCTTTACAGTAAAACCTGTCTAATCTGAACACCTCTGGGAGCAGTCTAAAGTGTTCAGATTAGCAGGTGTTCACATTTAAAGGTTTTATAAACATTGTGAGTCAATGGGAAATAAATTTAGAACCAAGAAAAAGTGTTCACATTGAGGGGTGTTCTCATTGTAAAGGCGTTCAGAGATACAAGTTTAACTGTATACCCTATATATATATGTGCACTGTACAGTAAGCCAGCTGTTCTAGTATCAGACTTATACAACCTTGCAAAACAAGAAATACTGGTATTCAGACAACAGAATTACAAATCCATCAAAACCTATAACAGAAACAATATTGCCAGATATAAGCAACATTTGAAAATACATCCAAACGAGTGACATGCACTAGATGCTGGATTCAACATTTATGGTACTACGTATTGCAACTGAGTCTAAATGCAGTATCTAAGCAAGGTTATACTTGTATATAGACTATATTTAGCCTTATAATCCACAGGAGCATAATCATAACCCCTAAAAAGATTAACACACAATTATACATTTAACTCTACCAAAACAAAATTGGTTAAATTTTTTCTGAAAACTGCAATAAAATGACTGAGTAAAATGTTAGATTTTCCCTACATTCCAAGTTGAAGAGTTTATCTCATTTATTGGTTTTACGAAAAAAGGAATGGTAGGATGATTTTAAGCAAGGGAGGTATTTGTATGAGTCTGCAAAACTCTGATTGAGAGAGTATATATGATACATTTATGGCATCCTTCGTCAAATGGCTTCATTGGTCTTTCAATTCAATATATGGAAAAAGTGAAATACCCTAGGACCAAGGATGCATTTATGGCTACAATTTTGCTGGAAAGGTCTAAAAAAATTTGCTTTACCAAAATGATTTATCAAATTTATCCAGATGCCAGACAAGGCGTTGGATCAAGTCTGGAGTAGGGGATCACAGGGACTTATTAGAGCAACACAGTCTTGAATTTCAGAAATTGGCAATCATGACAGAATGCGACTTAACTTTGATCTCCAAATATAAATTACAGGTAATTACAGGTGTGTTTGTAATTACAGGTATATTTGTAGCAAAGTCACACATGCTATCATCCTACATAGCTTATCAAGAATTTTCACAAGTTAGTTCAAGTATGGGGGCTATGTCATACATATACAACACTTGACATCAGGCGTAGAATACAAATTGGTTTAATTTCATTCTATTTTAATTTGTAAAATAATCATAATATCAATTTAATTTTAAGAATATCACTAAAAGCAATGCTAAAATTGAAATATAAAATTGAAAAACGAATCATATTGAGATGATGGCCTTATTATATTACAATGGGTGTGACCCCCCATGTCCTTAAGT